TGAAAAAAATTAATAAATAACTGAAATTTATGAGCCAATTTTTGAAATATAGTTGAATCAAAGTTATAGTTAGAACCCTTAAGTATAGTTCGTTGTTGGTTTAGTTATTAAAGCTCTTAGGAATGGCATGTTACTGCCATATTTGACACTTTCCAAAGTGAAGTCATTTAGATGAATCCTTGGTTTTCTAAGTGAATCATCTTGTAGATAAGAGTCACCTTTTATTACATGTTTATGTATTTTTAGTACTAAATAATGTGTTGTTGATTCCTAGAGAGAAATCTACTTGGGGTATCAAAGAGACTCAAGAAGGATGATGGAGGAGCTAAGGTCCAGGCTTGTTAATATTTATTAGAGTCTTAGAATGTGGGTGATAGATAAATGGGCAATTAGTATGAATCTTCAGATCAGAATTGATAAATGATACATGACCCACCAAGTTTTAAAATAAAAACTGGGACAGTTACCACCAAATTTTAGGAACATTGGTTTCCTGTGTAGCTAGTTTTTCTCTTGGTAACAACCAGTTTGTAAATAAAGGGGTCAGAAATGATTTTTTTCCTTGTTGGAGGCACTGTGGGAAAGCAGAAGACAGTGAAAAGTGGTATTAAGATTAGGTGATCATAAAGGAAGAATTATAAGTGGAAACCTGTGGAATTAAAGTGTATGAGTGTGGATGGATGTCTAAAACATAACAGAAAATGCCTGCTCTTGTGAATACAGGTAGCATTGTGTGTTTCTAGGATTCAACTACTTGGAGAACAGAGAGGCCTTTTCCTTTATGGAATGCCAAGTCAGGCTTTTTGAAGGACTTCTACCTAAGATAATTAATGTACACTTGAGTTCTGAAATTGCTTGAGACTGAACTATATATTATTGTGTACAGTTTTGAGAATTATAAAGATCACTGCTGACATGAAGAGTATATAAGTATATCTGTATTTTTAGATCATTCATAGTCAGCCATTCCTCAGTCTCCTGAGGGGATTGGTTCCATGGCCTCTAGAGATAGCAGAATCTGAGGATGACTAAGTCCTATATAAATGGTGGAGTGTTTGTGTATTGCCTATTTATACTGTTTTTTATATTTTATTTTATTTTTATTTAAATTAGAAACAAGCTTGTTTTACATATCAATCCCAGTTGCCTCTCCCTGCCCTACTCCTCTGCCCCACACCGACCCCCTATCCCATCCCTTTTTGCTCCCCATGGAGGGTAAGGCCTTCCATGGAGGATCTTCAAAGTTTGTCATATCATTTGGAGCAGGGCCTAGAACCCCCCTCCCACACCGTATGTCTAGGCTGTGAGAGTATCTATGTGGAGTGGGCTCCCAAAATCCATTCATGTATTAGGGAAAAATCCACTACTGGAGGCCCCAGACCTCCAAACTGACATCCACGTTCAGGGGGTCTAGGGTAGTCCTATGCTGGTTTCCCAGCTATCAGTCTGGAGTTCAGATAGCTGTTTCTGTGTGTTTCTCCAGCCTGGTGTTGACCACTTTGCTCACCACTCTTCCCTCTCTGCAACTGGGTTCCATGGTTCAGCTCAGTGTTTAGGTGTGGGTGTCTGTTTCTACTTCCATCAGCTACTGGATGAAGACTCTAGGATGGCATAAGGTAGTCATCAATCTCATTATCAGAGAAGGACATTTAAGGTAGACTATGGACTATTGCTTAGATTGTTAGTTGGGGTCATCCTTGTACATCTCTGGACATTTCCCAAGTGCCAGATTTCTCTTTAAACCAATAATGGCTCCCTCTATTATGGTTTCTCTTTTCTTGCTCTCCTGTATTGTTCCCCAGACTCCATCTTCTTGCTTTCATGTCCTCCCCTCCCCTCATCTTCTCTCCTTCTCTTTCTCTTAACTCCCTCTCCCCTCCCCTATACTCCCAATTAGCTCAGGAGATCTTGTCCCTTTCCCCTTTTCTGGGGGACCATGTATGTCTCTCTTAGGGTCCTCCTTGTTTCCTAGCTTCTCTGGAGTTGTCGGCTGTAGGCTAGTAATCCTTTACTCTGTCTAAAATCTATATATGAGTGAGCACATATCATGTTTGTCTTTTTGTGACTGGGTTACCTCACTCAGGATGGTTTCTTTTATTTCCATCCATTTGCCTGTGAATTTCACGATTCCATTGGTTTTTTTTTCTGCTGAGTAGTACTCCATTGTGTAAATGTACCACATTTTCTCAGGCATTTAGGTTGCTTCCAGGTTCTGGCTATTACAAAAAAGTTGCCATGAACATGGTTGAACAGATGTCCTTGTTGTATATGCCTAAGAGTGGAATTGCTGGATCTTGTGGTACACTGATGCCCTTTTCCTGAGGAACCGCCTACTGATTTCCAAAGTGGCTGTACGAGTTGGCACTCCCACTAGCAGTAGAGAAGTGATCCCCTTACTCCACATCCTCTCCAGCATAGACTGTTATTGGTGTTTTTGATTTTAGCCATTCTGACAGGAGTAAGATGATATCTCACAGTTCTTTTGACATGCATTTCCCTGATGGCTAAGGATGTTGAACACTTTCTTATGTGTCTTTCAGCCATTTTAGATTCCTCTATTGAGAAATTTCTATTTAGTTCTATATCCCAATTTTTAATTGAATTATTCGGTGTTTTGGTGACTAGCTTCTTGAGTTCTTTGTAAATTTTGGAGATCAGCCCTCTGTCAGATGTGGGGTTGGTCTTTTCCCATTCTGTTGGCTGCCATTTTGTCTTGTTGACTGTGTCCTTTGCCTTACAGAAGCTTCTCCGTTTCAGGAGGTCCCATTTATTTAATTGTTGACCTCAGTGCCTGTGCTACTGGTGTTATGTTCAGGAAGCGGTTTCCTGTACCAATTCATTCGAGCGAACCGCCTACTTTCTCTTCTAAGAGGTTCAGTGTGGCTGGATTTATGTTGAGGTCTTTGATCCATTTGTACTTAAGTTTTGTGCATGGCAATAGATATGGATCTATCTGCAGTCTTATACATTCCAGCATCCAGTTATGCCAGGACCATTTGTTGAATATGGTTTCTTTTTTCCAATGTACAATTTTAGCTTCTTTGTGAAAATTCAAGTGTTCATAGGTGTGTGGGTCCATATCAAGGTTTTCAATTAAATTCCATTGGTATACCTATCTATTTTTGTGCCAATACCAAGCTGTTTTCAGGACTGTAGCTCTGTAACAGAGCTTGAAGTCAGGGATAATGATGCCTCCAGATGTTCCTTTATTGTACGTTTTTTTTTTTTTTTCTATCCTGGGTCTTTTGTTTTTCTATATAAAGCTGAGAATTGTTCTTTCAAGGTCTGTGAAAAATTGTTCTGGGATTTTGATGGGGATTGCATTGAATTTGCAGATTGCATTTTGCAAGGTTGCCATTTTTACTGTGTTGATCCTACCTATCCAAGAGCATGGGAGATCTTTCCATTTTCTGGCATCTTCTTTTAATTTCTTTCATATTTTAAATCATCACCTGGTTCAATATAAGTGCTAATTAAATAGTTGTATCATTTAAGAAATAATGACAAATCTGTATATGTTCAGTAGTGATACAGATTATTTTCTCTGCATTATCTATCCATCGGTGGTCAAATCTACTGATTTACTATTGTAGTAAATGTATAGTAGGTATATGACTATTAAGTGTAATGTTACACCTCATCAAATTTTTTTTAAATAGGTGGTTCTCTTGTTATTTACAGAAGTGGCTACATTGATTATCCTTTTTGAGCCATTTGTATTTTTAATAACAAATTGATATTTATTACAGAATATTCAGAAAATAAGATAACAGTGGTCAAAGGATAATCTAAAATTGTTTATATTCTTCCCTTCTAGAAATAATGATTGCTAAAACTTTTGTATATAAGCTTTAGGATATTTTTATTAAAACTTGGACTATTAATTGCCAGTACTCATAGAGAACAACTAGAGACACCTTATAAAGCATGTATTGTATTGTCTTCATGTATATAGAATTGATTTGTTTCTATATACTTAGATATTTTATTATCACAATTAGTGGGCAGACTTTCTCTAAGAAATAAAAATGAACCAAGAAATTTGTTAGAAAGTACTCCTTCAAGTATTAGGTGCATTTTTTTGCTTGAATGCATATTTAACCTATAACATTTGAAAACTCCAGTTATTTTTACTCAAAGAAATTACTTTGAAATCACACAAAAATCTTTATATCAATAAAATTGAAGACATCCAAATCTCTGAAACATTGGCTTACTGAGAACACACTGGTGCTTATTTTCAACACTGCTTTATGTATTCCTTTGAGGTTTGCACTTAAGCTTCCTCAAATTTGAACTTAAAAGTATTTACCCTCATTACTTAATTCCATATTTTTAAATCCTATAGATCTTAGTGCTTTATATTGTAACATTACCATTTATATCCTAAGTTTACTAATTTGGGTCTTTGTTTTGGTTAGCTTAAGGGTTTATAAATTTGATTTATCTTTCAAAAACAATTTTATTGTTTTTGTTTTCTTTACATTAATTTTTGGGCTAGTCTTTTTCCCTTCCAGGAATTTTTAGGTTGGGGTGTTTTTGCTCTTCAAAAACCTTTAGATATATCATTTGGTTATTAATTTGATATCTGATTTTAATGTAGACATTCTTAGCTGTAAAATTCCATCTTTATATTAAAATGTGTGTGTGATCTCTGCCAGCAAAAAAACAATTTTAAATCAATAATGTTTTCTATGTAAACTATAGTTTTTTTCTACTAAGGAAATTGTCAAGGCATGATTACTGAAATATCTCTATTTTTAAACTGAACATAGACACGATTTATCTGTTGTCATCATATACAATATTTAAATTGTCTGAATTAGGCTACCAGGTAACTAGAAACTGTATATCACATAAGACTTAATGTCTTCTTATGATAACACTATACTAGAATGAATAAATTATTATTAGGACTTTCATAAATGATATGTATACAGGAACCTAAAGTGTTCTAGCTTTTAAGTACATGTAATTTTTTATTTTATTTCTCAAAAAAGCTGAAAAGAAATCAAAGAGCAGAGGAGCCACTAGACCTTGGAAATATGGAGCCACAGCTTTGGAGAGTGAAGAAGCAGCCCCAGGTGATTGACTTTTTTTTACATTAATCTGCAAGATGATTCCTGTACATTGAACAATAGTGTAGTGTTCAGAAGGAAAGGCTCTTTCTGCTTTGAGAAAACAAATACAAAGTGTAGATCAATGTTAAATTGCTAGAAATTTTCACTGTGATAAGTCAATGATGCTTGGTATTTAACTAAAGCCTACTTTTGAGAAAATTAGACTTATTTCCTAGCTATATAAAATTCTAATGTTCCTAAACTTCCATTTAAGTGGCACCTTTAAAATATTTTTAGTTTTACTTTTTTAATGTTTTTCTTTGAGAATTTCATGTAATTTATTTTGATCATATACTTTCCCTGCTCCCAGTTCCTCAGGATCTTCCCATACCTCCCTATCCACTTGATTTCCTGTTTTTTATACTATTAAAAAAGAGAGGGGAAGCAAATAAAATTTTAAGTCTGATATGTGTTTTCAACCTATTTTGAACATGGGACCTACCTTGGAATAATGCCCAGTGTCATTCCAATGAATAAATCTCATCTTATCTTACCCAGCAGTTCTCAGTTTCTTGGCTAGGGCTGGGACTTTGTTCCTATTTCCCCTCCTCCATCCTAGGATTTTGTCAGGCTTGTGCTTATGCAAGTATTATACATTCTGTTGCAGTCTTTGTGAATTCCTGTCTTCATCTTCCTGGTAGGTCTTGAAAACCCTGTCTCTTTGAAGACTTTTAACATCTCTGGTTTTCCAATCTTTTTTGAACTCACTTCCACATAGATCCCTGAGCCTTGACAGTAGGGATTTGATTCTGATATCCCTATAAGGTTGAGTATTTCAAAGTTTCTAACTTTCTTCAGGTGGTCCACTTGTAGGTATCTATGTTAATTGCCATGTACTGCATGAAGCTTTTCTGACAAGGGTTTAGGGATGCCCAGATCAACAAATATACCATTAGGAATCATTTTATTGTAATTAGCAGAATAATAATAATAATGGTATATTTTCCCACAAGGTCCTAAGACCTATCTTGTCACAGGTTATTGGTCTCATTGGCAGTGTCAGTTACAGATTCTATTTCAGGTGATGAGCCTTAAGTCCACTGAAACACTAGTTCATTCTATAACATTCTTGCCACTATTGTGCCAGTGAGCATACCTTGAGGGCAGGTGGTTATTGGAGCTCAGAAGGTTCATAGCTATGTGAGATTGATGATTTCTTTTTTCTCCTGGTAGTATCTATAGTATATTTTAGTAATGTGAACCCTAGCCAGTAAGGGTGAAGTTTCCAGTTTCCAGCTGGGTTTCTCCATGTACCATACCATAACATAAATATGTGGTGTATTCAGCAAATTAAAACTATTTTGAAATTGTCAAGTTATAGAGAGTTACCAGTAGCATAGTTAATGGCCTGTAGTGTTAGGGATTATGTCTATGAGAAACCTTTGGCCAGTACCTCAAAAAGAAGTTTCAGGTACTAGGGTTTTTATTAGTGGCATCTGGGATGTTGTCCCTCCATTACATATCATCACTTCACTTAAACTCTTTTTAAACAAATATATGTATATATTTCAAGAAGCTTCTATTGAATAGTTTTCCCTTTGGAGGGTTTGAAAGGCTTTTCATGTTAGTCATTCCTACAGCATTTATAAGTGTGCCTGTGAACATTTGGTTTGTTGTACACTTTCATCATTACCCATATATGTGCTTTGTAACTGTTGGTACCCACTGACAGAAGTGAGTTGTGACACTCACAGTTCTCATCTGGCCTGCCACACTCATCTCCAGACCTATATCTTCTCCTTGTCCTTTTGTGGGACCAGTGATCCATTGATTTCAAATTTTGATTTATTCAGTTTTTCTTTGTCTTCATCTTTTTCTTTCTTTCTTTTTCTTTTTTTTTTGCAGAACCTCCAACTCTTTTCTAGATTTTGTATCATAGTTGTTGAGTATCTATCTCATCCTATCCTTGAACTGCCTGGCTGAATTTACCTGTTCATTTAAATCCACTTTGAGGCCATTAATCACCTGTAAAGTAGACTTTTGAATGTTTTGTCCAAAATTTTTACCATTTCAATATCTTTGATTTGGTTATGTAGGAGTTGGGAATAATATATATGTATATAAATTAAATATATATTAATATATGCATCTCTGTGTGTGCATGTGTTTTTGCATATGCATACAGGTACACAGACAGAAGTATTGGATACTCAGCTGCTGAAGTTACAGGCACTTGTGAGCCACATGTATTCAGGTTCTATGGAAAAGCAGCAGAAAATACTTTGAATTGCTGACTCGTTTTTTTTTTTTTCACGCCTAAAGAGAGTTTTAAGATGGCATAATGGAATATGTAAGCCCACTTCCAGAGATGGTCTTTAAGCTTCATATAAAGTAGAGGGTTGGAACATTTGTTGAATGGAGCAGAGAGATAAAATATTTTAACAGGAGAATGTGCTTAAAAATAAATTGCAACAGCGATTCTTTCATAGAGGTTAGAGTGGATATTACAGAGAACCATATCCAGCTCATGTGGCTGTGTGACAAGATTGTTTTTTATGTTCTTTGGTTAGTTTTGTTTTTCTTTAAAGCTCACAAAGAATGTGGCAGACACAGAGATCATATGTATCTCTGTCCATCAGAATGTTTTTTCTCTAGCTCCTTACAAACAAAATTGATAACCTCTATTCTGTTGCTTCTGACTAAAGAAAGTAGAAGAGAATGTGACTCAGAGGCAGGAGCTGATTCACTGCTCAGTAGTGAAGGGATACTTAATTGAGAAGTATTGGTGGAGTTAACAGTCCTGAAAGTTGCATGATGTACAGAGCAAAGCCAGAAGAAGCATAATGGATTGAATGGAAATAGAAGGAGCTATGGATAAACTTTGCAATGAGAGTATAAAACATGATCAGTTGGTCTGAAATGAAAGATAGCAAATAAGGGAGTTGAAGGGTGGACAAAGGGACACTGTTGTCTAGGAGATGAAAGAGTTCCAGAAATTGACAGGAATATTAATTTCCAGGACCTTAGCTGGAATCTTTATTGAAAATGTGAATGTGATGCTCTGATACTGGTCAAATACTGAAAATAATGACAAGAGAGATAATGTTTTTAAAAAAGTAATGTAACATCACTAGACACATTGAGCCAAGAGTGTGAGAAGAATCTGGCTTATATGGGTGGATTAGTTGTAAATGGAGGGTTACGTTATGTTTATAATTAAATGATTTTATATTTGCCTTGGTAGCTGAGGATAGATTATTTCTATTCAGTGATTAGTAGAACTAAAATAAGAAGGCTACAGAAAAATGGGATATTTGCTATCACAGGGATTGTTTATGCAAACTATATGCTCTTTGGGTAAGGAAGAAGCAAGTAGCAGAGTGTTTAAACTTATTACAAAGTCCTCAGAATGAAAACTGTTGAGGTTTAAATGCAAGGCTATTTATGAGTAGGTGTATTTGTTTCATATATCACCTAGAAAAAATTTTATTTAGAATTAATAGTTTTCTTATATGAAATACTTCCCCTGAAATAATCAAATTGTGAAGGTATTAGTACTGAAATATTTCTCATTTTTAAATTTTAAAAAAGACATAACCAGGGAGGTAATTTTCACAAAATATGAAAATTGCCTGAATTTGGCTACCAAGCAACTAGAAGCTACATATCACATGAGCATGATGGTAGCTTTTTCATGATAACATCATACAAGTGTCTATATTTGTAATTAAGAAGCTTTATTGTTTGGCATACATACAGGAACACAACAGCGTACACAGATTATATCAGCCACAACTAAGTCTTCTTGTAAATGTGTATTATTATTTTTCATTTCATACCCCACAAAAGCTGCAAAAAAAACACCAAGGGCAGGATATTCAGCAACCCTTTGGAGGTTGAAGGCAGACCTGTCAAAGATGACCAAGCAGCCCCAGGTCATTGCTTTGTTTCTTATATTGATTTGCAAGATAATTCCTGTTCACTGAATGGTACTTTCAGAAGGAAAGCTTCTTTTCTGTTTGAGGAAAACAAATGTAGAAAGTAGCTCAATGATACACTGTTAGCGTCCTGCATTTTGGTTTTAATAAAAGCTTACTTGTAAGAGAAATAGACCATTGCCTTCTTTTTGGATAGTTAGACTATTTCCGGATTATGCAAAAATTTAAAGTATATACATCTTCATTTATGTGGCATCTTTGTTTAAAATTATTTTTCTATGTCAATACTTTTATTTATTCTTTGAGAATCTCATGCAATTTATTTTCACTCACACTCTTTGCCCTCTAATTCCTCCCAAATTGTCTGCCACCTCTCCATCCTGTGGACTTCATGATTTTATTCTCTCTGAAATAAATGTGGGGAAACACATAATAACTTGGAGTCTGAATTGTGTCATCTGACTACATTTGAACATACGGCCTGCCTTGGTGTATGTTGATATAATCATACTACCATGGGTTTTCATATGAATTTTTGAAAGACTTCTTTTTAAACCTGGAATATAAGGCAGTTGTTAAAAACTAAAGGGTCTGGTGAATAAAGTTGAATTAATTGTGAGTGAAGGGTGAAGCTATGGCAGCAATTAAATTTAATTAAATAATCTTTAAAAATCTGCTATTTGTCCTGGTAGCTGAATATAAACTATATCCTTTTCTGTAAACAGAAGATGTGGCATAAAAAGGTTCTAGAAAAATGGGGCATTTGTTTTCACATGTCCTGTTTTTTTTCTTTCTCTCCATTTTTTTTTGGTTTTTTGAGACATTTTTTCTCTGTGTAGCTTTGGAGCCTATCCTGGCACTCGCTCTGGAGACCAGGCTGGCCTCGAAGTCACAGAGATCCACCTGTCTCTGCCTCCCGAGTGCTGTGATTAAAGGCGTGCGCCACCAACGCCCGGTCCAATTTTTATTTAAATTAGTAACAAGATTATGTACATGTAAATCCCAGTTCCCACTGCCTCCCCTCCTCAACGGCCCCCCCCAACTAACATCCCACCTATCCCATACCCTTTCTGCTCCCAAGGGAGGGTAAGTCCTTTCATAGGGGGTCTTCAGAGTCTGTCATATCCTTTGGGATAGGGCCTAGGCCCACCCACTGGTGCCTAGGCTCAGGGACTATCCCTCTATGTGGAGTGGGTTGCCAAAGTTTATTCCTGTGCTAGGGATAAGTACTGATCTACTACAAAAGGCCCCATAGATTTCCGAGGTCTCCTCACTGACACCTATGTTCATGGGGTCTGGATCAGTCCCATGCTGGTTTCCCAGCTATCAGTCTGGGGACCAAGAGTTTCCCCTTGTTCAGGCCAGCTGTTTCTGTGGGTTTCTCCAGCCTGGTCTTTACCCCTTTGCTCATTACTCCTCCTCTGCAACTGGATTCCAGTTCAGTTCAGTGTTTAGCTGTGGGTGTCTGCTTCCACTTCTGCCTGGGTGAAGACTATAGGATGGCATATAAGTCAGTCATCAATCTCATTGTCAGGGGAGGGCATTTAAGGCAGCCTCTCCTCTGTTGCTTAGATTGTTAGTTGGTGTCATCATTGTAGATTTCCAGACATTTCCCTAGCGCCCTATTTTTCTTTAAACCTAAAATGTCTCCCTCTATTATGGTATCTCTTATCTTGCTCTCCTCTATTCTTCCCCCAACTCAAACTTCCTGCTCCCTCGTGTCCTCCTAACCCCTCCTCTACTCCCCTTCTCATTTTTCTAGCTCCTTCTTCCCCCCCCCATGCTCCCAACTTGCTGAGGAGATCTTGTCCCTTTCCTCTTCTCCAAGGGAACATGTATGTCTCTCTTAGAGTCCTTGTTTCCTAGCTTCTTTGGCGGTGTGGATTGTGGGCTGATAATCCTTTGCTCTGTCTAAAGTCCATATATGATTGAGTACATACTCTGTTTTTCTTTTGTTGACTGGATTACCTCACTCAGAATGGTTTCTTCTAGTTCCTTCCATTTGCTTGCAAATTCCAAGATTCCATTGGTTTTTTCCTGCTGAGTAGTACTGTATTGTGTAATGTACCACATTTTCTCTATCTATTCTTCAGTTGAGGGGCATCTAGGTTGCTTCCAGGTTCTGGCTATTACAATAATGTTGCTATGATCATAGTTGAACAGATGTCCTTGTTGTATGAATGTGCTTCTTTTAGGTATATGCCTAGGAGTGGAACTGCTGGATCTTGTGGTAGACTGAATCCCATTTTCCTGAGGAATTGGCATACTGATTTCCAAAGTGGCTGTATGAATTGGCACTCCCACCAGAAGTGGAGGAGTATTCCTCTTCCTCTACATCCTCTCCAGCACAAACTGTCATTAGTGTTTTGATTTTAGCCATTCTGACAGGAGTAAGATGGTATCTTAGAGTTGTTTTGATTTGTATTTCCCTGATGGCTAAGGATGTTCAACACTTTCTTATGTGTCTTTCAGCCATTTTAGATTCCTCTATTGAGAATTCTCTATTTAATTCTGTACCCCGCTTTTAAATTGGATTATTTGGTGTTTTAGGGACTGTCTTCTTGAGTTCTTTGTAAATTTTGGAGATCAGCCCTCTGTCAGATGTGGAGTTGGTGAATGTCTTTTCCCATTCTGTGGGCTGCTGTTTTGTCTTGCTGACTGTGTTCTTTGCCTTACAGAAGCTTCTCAGTTTCAGGAGGTCCATTTATTAATTATCAATGTTCAGGAAGCAGTCTCCTGTACCAATTCGTTCAAGGATATTTCCCACTTTCTCTTCTAATAGGTTCCGTGTGGCTGGATTTATGTTGAGGTCTTTCATGCAATTGGACTTAAGTTTTGTTCATGGCAATAGATATGGATCTATCTGCAGTCTTCTGCATGCCAGCATCCAGTTATGCCAGCACCATTTGTTGAAGATACTTTCTTTATTCCATTGTATAACTTTAACTTCTTTGTCAAAAATCAGGTGTTCATAGGTGTGTGGGTTAATATCAGGGTTTTCAACTGGATTCCATTGGTCTATTTTTGTGCCAATACCACCCTGTTTTCAGGACTATAGCAATTAAAGAAAATACCAGAAAATGGAAGGATCTCCCATGTTCTTGGATAGGTAGGATCAACATAGTAAAAATTGCAATCTTGCCGAAAACATTCTACTGATTCAATGCAATTCCCATCAAAATCACAGCACAATTCTTCACAGACATTGAAAGAATAATTCTCAACTTTATATGGAAAAACAAAAGACCCAGGCTAGCCAAAACAACCCTGTACAATAAAGGAACTTCTGGGGACATCACCATCACATGCCCTGTTTATTTATATTATATGCATGGTCTCTTGACCCAGAAGAAGCAATTCTGTAGACTGTTTCACATTATGAAATAAACCCTCAAAAAAGTATAACCAAGCTTTCAACACATATATTTGTGTGTGTATCTTTCATATTGTTCCATACAAAGAAATTTATTTAGAAATACTACTTTTTATTAACTAAAATTCATTTTTTTCTAATAACTACATTGTGAAGGTTATATAATTTTTTTGTTTTTAAACTTTTAACATAGACAGAAATGATCTGGCAGTTATTTCTCAAAGTTAATATTAAATTTTTCTCAGAATTGGGCTATTGGTTAACTGGAAGCCACATATCATGTGAGCATGATGGTAGTCTTTTATTGACAACACTATAGGAGTTTCTATGTTTTATTATAGCATGTTCCTGCTTTTAATGTACATGATTTTTGTTTTTATTTCATACCTCCAAGAAGCTGCAGAAAAACCAAAGGGCATTGTATTCACCAACCCTTTGGAGGATGAAGACATACCTGTGAAAGATGACCAAACAGCCCCAGGTGATTGCTTTAACTTTCCATATTGATTTACAAGATGATTCCTGCACAGTGAATAATGGTGTAGTGTTTCAGAAGGAAAAACTCTTTTCTGTTTTAAGAAAACCTATAGAAAGTAACCCAGTGATAAATTGCTAGAAATTTTTAGTTTTCTAGTTCAACATTTCTGTTTGTTTTAAATTAATGCATCGTTTTACATTACTTCCTGATTATATGAAATTCTTCTGTATGTAAATCTTCACTTATATATCAACTTTGATTTAAATTATTGTATGATAATTTTCATACATTTTTATTTTGTTCCTATTCCTTTACCTCCCCCAACTCTTCTGAAATTGTCCTCCATGGCTCCATCCTCCAGACTTCATGTTCTTACTTTCTCTTAAACAAATATGAAAAACACCTAAAAAGTGGGAGTCTGATTTGTGTTAGCCAACTATTCCTGAACATTTCACCTGCCTTTGTGTGTGGTTGATATAATCATTGTTATTCCATTGAAGAAAATGGATTTTCCCTTTCTAAAAGCTATTAATTCTTGGATAGGGCTGGATTTTGTGTGCCTATTTCCCCTTCTCCATGCTAGCATTTTTTTCAGGCTTGAAATCTCAAGGGATGTGAAATAGACATAGCACTTAGAGTTGAGCACTGCAGTCTCTTGCTCTGTGCATGTTGTCCACTTAGAAGTCATTGTTTTAATTATCGCCCAGTATATGGAGATTCTCTGATGATGTTTGAGTGATGCACTGATCATTAAGTATAGCAATCTGTCATAGGAGTTATTTTATTTCTATGTCCATTCAGCAGAATCATCCTAGTAGGGTTTTCCAGAAGGCTTGTGGTCTGTCTAATATCAAGTCCCTCACCTGATTAACAGTGTCAAGTATGGAGTCCATTTAATGGAGTGGGTTTTAAATCCAATTAAACAGTGCTTTGTTACTCCCATAATATTTGCGCTATTTTTGCCCCAGTATATTTTACAGAAAGATCAATTTTGTACATCACTAGGTTAGTATATGGGCCAGATTGATAATTTCTTTGCCCCTTTGGTAGTGTGTGTAGCACCTTTTGGCACTTTGAAACATAGCCAGTTAGGGCGAAGCTTCCATTTCAGTACCAGCTAGATTTTTTATGTTCCAAGATAGAAGTTGGTGGTGCATTCCACAAATTAAAACTACCTTAAGATCTTACTGTCAAGTTTTAGAGGATAACTAATAGTATTACCAGTAGCCTGTAGTGTAGAAGGGGAGGGGTCTATGAGACACCTTCGGCCAGAACTTTAAAAAGTGATGTTCCATTTCTAAAATGTGTTTTTATTAGGTAACAAGTGGTGTCTACTTGGAGGAAGCAGGTATCCCTCTCGACTGTAATATTTTTAATATACGCATTTCAGGGAATTTCTATTGCAATAAGTTTCTTTATTGCCCTTTTGAAAGGCTTTTCTTGTTAGATATCCCTCCCCACAATTTCGCCTTTATTCTTCAATTTCTCACCCCATTTAATATGTGCAAATCTTTTGAGTCTGTATGATTAATCTTTGGAAGTATGCATATGGCTATTCAGTTTCTTGCAGGTTCTTTTTCTTATAATTCATAGATTAGCTATGAAACTTGAGATTCCCCCTGAAAGGATGAGTTATTACACTCAAAGTCCTTGTTTGTCCTGCCACATTCATAGTCTTCAGGTTTATCTCTTTTTCTCATCCCTTCCTGGGGCCAGTGGCAAATTGAGTTTTAAATTTTAATTTGTTTTTCTGTGTTTAGCTCTTTTATTCAGAATCATTCTCTGTTTCATTTTCTATGCAAGTTACTGTGTTTTTCATCCTATCTCTGAATGGACTGCCTGAATTAATTTTTCTGTTCATTTGAATCCAACTTGGATTCATTAATCATCTTTAAAATTGGACTTTTAGATTCTTTATCCTGTATTTTTTTACCTTTTAACTATTTGGGGGTTTGGCTATTGGGGAGTTAGAAGCTTTAAAATTTTATTTATTATCTATTTGTATGTGTATTTGCATATGTTTTTGCACGTACATGGAGGTGTCCCCAGAGGACAGAAGAGGGTATTGAATTCTGGAGCTAGAATTACAGGCAGTTGTGCTCCACTTGGTATGGGTGTTAGAAATGAATTCTGGTCTTCTGCAAGGGAAGCAATAAGTACTATTGCCTTTTGAACCCTGTCCTCAGCCTCAAGCATAGTTTTAAGGTGGCATGTATAAATCAGGTAATCCAAAGATAGCCTTTAATCTACTTTCATATAAAGTGGGTATTGAATGCTTTGCTGAATGGAGCAGAGAGCGCTAAGGGTTTTTGTAATTTTTAAAAAGCAGCTCAATAGAGAAAGACACCATGTTACAGAGTTCAAGGGGAGGGTTTTTTTTAACTATGGGAAAGGATTTTAAAAAGGGGAAAAGGGAGCAGGGAGACTGGCCTCCATGGACAGGAACAGCTTGAGGGGGAGAAACAGAGGGAGAGAAAGGGGAGAAGCAGAGAGAAGGAGAGAGGAGGATGTTAAGTAGGCAGGGCCGTTTTAAAAGGGAACATATTCAATAGGCACAGGTGGTGCTCTTAGTGGCAGCATCTGACTGACAGCATCTCCTGTCAGAACTCCAAAGGCAGGCCAGTAAAAATGCCTAAATACTAACAGGGGTGGGAACTTAACCAGAATAAAACATTTTAGGAATCTACTTAGAAATAAATTACAGAAGCAACTCTTCTATTGAGATTATCTTGGGTGTTGCAGAGCGGGCCATGTCCATCCCATGTACCAATATGATAAAATTGGTTTTATGTTCTTTTGTTTGTTTTTGTTAAAAAGCAGTCAAAGAAGAATGTATGGAAGAGACCATATGTAACTAACAGAATGATTCTTGTCTATCTCTCTACAAAACTAGATTGTTAACCTTTAGTCTGTTGCTTCTGACTAGACAAAGTTAAAGACAATGGCTTGGAAGTGAGAGCTGATTATAGAAGGAAGGGATACTTCATTTAGAAGTATTGATGAAGATGGACAATTGAGTTCAAGTTGCATCAGGAGTAGAGTAGAGCCAAAAGAAACCTAATGGATTGGATGAAAATAAGGGTACTGTGGCTAAATTTTGCAATGAGAGTGTAAAACATGATCAGGAGGGTAGACAAAGAGACATTGTTGTCTTGAAGATAGAAGAGATCCAGAAATCGCCAAGAATAACCAGTTCAGGGTGTTATTTATTGGTGATGTTAATATGAGGCATCAGTGGTATGGTCGTGGTCAATATCCTGAAACTGATGATAGGGAGAATATGAAAAGAAAAGGTAATGCGATTAACATTACCAGAGTTCTTTAAATTGGGAGTTTTGAACCTGAAATAAGTAGAGTCTGGTGTATATAAGTGAAATTAGTTGTAAATGAAGTATAGAGTTTTGGTGTCAGTTATATGATCCTATTATTTGCCTGGTAGCTGAGGATAGATTACATCCCTTTTGGTGAGTAGAAGTAGAATAAAAATACTTCAAAAAGATGGGATAACCTTTACCCTGGACCTATTTATTAATACCACTAAGCACAGAAAAATTAAAACTGTAAGTTTTTTAAGTTATAAAATGACACCCTTAAAATGAGAGCAGTTAATCTTTGAAAACAGTTATATTAAGGTGTGTGCATGTATATGTTTGGGTGTGTTTATATCTCTCCCTATTTAGAATTGGTATATTTGCTATGTAAAATTCTTTTATCTGATAACAAAATTGTAAAGGTGTTGATACTGTAATATCTCTTTTGTAAAAAGTGTGAACATTGACACAAAGAACATGGCAGGTATTCTTTTTTTAAATTTTTTATTTGAATTAGAAACAAGATTGTTTTACATGCCAATTCCAATTCCCTCTCCCTCCCCTCCTCCCCTGCCCCCCCCCACCTAACACTCTACCTATCCCATACCCTTTCTGCTCTCCAGGGAGGGTGAGGCCTTCCATAGGAGGTCTTCAGAGTCTGTCATATCTTTGGGATAGGGCCTAGGCCCATCCCATGTGTCTAGGCTCAGGGAGTATCCCTCTATGTGGGATGGGTTCCCAAAGTCCATTCCTATGCTAGGGATAAGTACTGATCTACTACAAGGGACCCCATAGATTTCCCAGGTCTCCACTGACACCCACATTTGTGGGGTCTGGATCAGTCCCATGCTGCTTTCCCAGCTATCAGTCTGGGGACCAAGAACTCTCCCTTGTTCAGGTCTGCTGTTTCTGTGAGTTTCACCAGCTTGGTCTGGACCCCTTTGCTCATCACTCCTCCTTCTTTGCAACTGGATTCCAGTTTAGTTCAAGGTTTAGCTATGGGTGTCTTCTTCTATTTCCACCAGCTTCTGGATGAAGGCTATAGGATGGGATAGTTATCATCAATCTCATTATCTAGGGAGGGCATTTAAGGCAGCCTGTCCTCTCTTGCTTAGATTGTTAGTTGGTGTCATCTCCAGACATTTCCCTAGTGTCTGAATTCTCTTTAAACCTAAAATGTCTCCCTCTATTATGGTATCTCTTATCTTGCTCTCTTCTATTCTTCTCACGACTCAAACTTCCTGCTCCCTCCTATCCTCCTCATCCCTCCTCTTGTCCCCTTCTCATTCTCCTAGCTCCCTCTCCCCTCCCCTCATGCTCCTATTTTGCTCAGGAGATCTTATCCCTTTCTCCTTCTCTGGGGGACAATGTATGTCTCTCTTAGACTCCTCCTTGTTTCTTAGCTTCTCTGGTGGTGTGGGTTGTAGGCTGGTAATCCTTTGCTCTATGTCTAAAATCCATATATGAGTGAATACATACCATGTTTGTATTTTTGTGACTGAGTTACCTCGCTCAGAATGGTTTCTTCTAGTTCCATCCATTTGCCTGTGAATTTCAAGATTCCATTGTTTTTTTCTGCTGAATAGTACTCCATTGTGTAGATGTACCAAATTTTCTCTATCCATTCTTCAGTTGAGGGGCATCTAGGTTGCTTCCAGGTTTTGGCTATTACAAATAATGCTGCGATGAACATCGTTGAACATATGTCCTTGTTGTATGAATGTGCTTCTTTTGGGTATATGCCAAGGAGTGGAATTGCTGGATCTTGTGGTAGACTCATTCCCATTTTCCTGAGGAGTCGCCATACTGATTTTCAAAGTGGCTGTATGAATTGGCACTCCCACCAGCAGTGGAGGAATGTTCCCCTTTCTCCACATCCTCTCCAGCCTGAACTGTCATTGATGTTTTCGATTTTGGCCATTCTGACAGGAGTAAGGTGGTATCTCAGAGTTCTTTTGATATGCATTTCCCTGATGGCAAAGGATGTTGAACACTTTCTTATGTGTCTTTCAGCATGGCAGGTATCCTTAACATTGAAATTGTCTAAATTGTGTTACTAGATTACTGAAAGCTGTATATCATGTGAACATTATGAAAGCCTTTCATGACAACATTATAAGAGAGTTTATATTTTATTATAGGGAGTTTTATTTGACATCCATACCAGAGCATAATGTATTATAGCTTTAAATGTATACCATTTTTTCTTTTTATTTTGTATCTCAACAAAGTTTGGAAAAAACCCAAAGGTAGAGGATTCACCAAACCTGGGAACTCTGAAGTCAGACTTGGAAAAAGTAACCAACCAGCTCCAGGTAATTTCTTTCTTTTTTATTTTGATTTGAAAGTTAATTACTGTACATTTAATAATGGTTTAGTGTTTCAGAAGGAAAGACTCTTTTTCTGTCTTAAAGAAACAAATACAGAATATAGTCCAATGATTTACTGCTAGAAATGTTCACTATGCTACTCCAACATTACTGTTTGTTTTAATAAAAACCTCCTCTTTGAAGAATTAGACCATTTCCTTCATTTTAGAGAATGAAACTATTTCTTGATTATATGAAATTGTGTTGTATTTAAAACTTTGATTTTTTGTGGCATTTTGGGTTAAAATTGTTTTTCTGTATTTAATGCTTTTATTTATTCTTTGCAAATTTCATACAATTATTTTTATCATATTCTTCCCCTCTCATAAGTCACCTCAAATCATCTTCCACCACCCTATCTTTTAAACTTCATGTTCTTTCTCTCTCTTAAAAAAAAATGAAAATCATGGCCGGGCATTGGTGGCACATGCCTTTAATCCCAGCACTCAGGAGGCAGAGGCAGGCGGATCTCTGTGAGTTCAAGGCCAGCCTGGTCTCCAGAGCGAGTGCCAGGATAGGCTCCAAAGCTACACAGAGAAACCCTGTCTCAAAAAAACAAAAAAAAAAATGAAAATCACGTTACAAAAATTGGGAGTCTGACTTAGGTTACCCAATTATTCCTGAACATGTGGCCTTCCTTGGAGTGTAGTTAATATACCTACCTAATGTTACTCCATTGAAGGAAACTGATTTTCCTTTTCTTAGCAGCTATCAATTGTGAATCAGTTTGCCAGGGCTGGGACTTTGTGCCTACTCCCCCTCATCCATGCCAAGATTTTGAAATGTTTAAGCTTTAAGCTTCATCTTGCACATTCTGTTACAGTCTTTCTGATTTCATGTGTTTGTCTACTCTGTTGTTTCTGAAAAATGTTGTCTGGTGGAAGTCCTTTTCAAACTGGCTTTCTGCCTCCTCTTCCACATAGATCCCTGTGAGGGATGCAGTGTGATACATATATTCCGTTTAGGGTTTCTTACTCTCTGCAGGTTATTCAGCTGTTGGTATCTGTGTTAATTACCATACACTGTAAGAAACTTCTCTGAAGAGGGTTAAGCATTGTGGTGATCAATGTATATAATAATATGTCTTTAGGGGTGGCTTTATTTCTGTGTCTATCGGAGTCATACTAATGGGATTTTCACTAAGTCTTATGACCGTATCCACATTAACAGTGTCAAGTATGGGTTCCATCTGAATGAGGCCTAGTTTCAATTTTTTAAAAAAAGGTTGGTTTTCCCTATAACAGTTGCATCACTGTTGCACCAATGTATGTTGCCAGTATGTTGATACATACAGTAGGTCACAGGATTAATAGATAGCTGAGTCAGACTGATGGTTACTTTTTTCTCTGACATTGTATAGCAATGATTAGCACTATGAATCATAGTCATTAGTGCTGAAGCTTCTATTCAAATAGAAGCTACGTTTCTCCATGTTGTATGACAGAAGTATGTGGTTTGTTCAGTAAATCAAAAGTATCTTGGGATTTTTGCCATCAAGGTGATGAGGGTAATTAATTGATTTGGCTGTGGCCTATAGTATTAGGAGTGTGTTCTCTGGCACATCTTTGTCTAACAACTCAAAAACTGGTAACCTATTTCTTGTATTACAGGGGATTTTTGGTAATAATGTGTCTTCTAGATGGGGTTGTTTCCCTCCATGACATAATCATTTCACTTAAACTTTTTATATATGTATATGAATATTTGTATGTTTCAGGAAGCTTCTACTATAGTAAGTGTGAATATGGGTTTATGAAAGGCTTTTATGTTAGGTATTCCTCTCCACTTTCCTAACTCTGACCTTTACTCCTTTCTTCCACAAACTTTAATCTGTGTATTTTTTAGTTTGGCCTACATGGTTAACCTTATAAATGTGCCTACGGCTATTCAATTTGTTTCTTTCTTTATTGTTCAACATAGACATAGATGGCCTGGCAAGTAATCTTCACACTAATTACGAAAGTTTTCTGAATTAGACTACCGGCTGCATGTCACATGAGCATGATTATAACTTTTTCATGTTAATATAAAGCTTTATTATTTGGCATACATACAGGACATAGTGAGTTCTATGTGTAAAGTAAAATGTACATCATTTTTATTTTTCATTTCATGCCCCAACAAAGTTGCAAAAAAACCCAAGGGCAGAGGATTCACCAAACCTTGGGAAGATGTCCAAACATCCTCAGGTAATTGCTTTGTTTTTCTATATTGCTCTATTGATTTTCAAGATAATTCCTCTATGTTGAATAATGGTGTTGTGTTTCAGAAGGAAAGACTCTTCTGTTTTAAGAAAACAAATGCAGAAAGTAGCCCAGTGATTAACTGCTACAAATTTTCATTGTGCTAATCCAATATTTCTAGTTCTTCTAAGAAAAGCCTCCTTTTGGAGAATTAGACTATTTCTTGATTATATGAAAAATCTATTGTATGAGAAACTTAATTTTGTTGTAATTTGTTTGAAAACATTTTATTTTATTTTTCTTCATTTAATTCTTTAATTGTTAAAAATTTCATGTAGTTAATTTTAATCATATTCTTTCCCTCCCCTACCCCCTCCACTATTGTTCATCATGTCCCTGTCCTCCAATTTCATGATCTTTCTATCTCTTAAAAATGAAACACACATAAAAATGGGAGAGGGAACTGGGATTGAAATGTAAAATAACAATTTTTTTTTTAAAATTTAAAAGCCCTCAAAATGTTAGTATATACACACACGTGTGTGTATGTGTGTTTCATATCTATCTACAAAGCATTTTGAATTATAATTAGTAGTATTTGCTAGGTAAAATTAATTTTCCCTAATAACCCTAATTTGAAGGCATTGATACTGATATTTCTTTCTTTTTTAACTGTAAACACCTAACACAAATAACGAGGAGGTTATCTTCACAAAAAATATTAAAATCAACTAAACTGAATGACTAGGTAACTGAAACTTGTGAAAAAGCTACATGACAATGCTGTAGGAAAGGAGTCTATATTTTATGATAAGAAGCTTTATTTTTGTCATACATACAGGACATAATGAGTTCTAGATATAAATGTACATCTTTTTTTATTTTTTCATTTCATATCTCAACAAAGATGGGAAAAAACCCAAGGGCAGAGGACTCCGCAAACCTTGGGAAGATGAAGCTAAACCAGGGAAAGGTGTTCAAACAGCCCCAGGTAATTGCTTTGTATTTCTAAATTTATTATTGATCTGTAAGATAATTCCTCTATATTGAATAATGGTGTATAGTGTTTCAGAAGGAAAGACTCCTTTCTGTTTCAAGAAAACAAAGCAGAAAGTATCCCGGTGATAAGCTGCTAGGAATTTTCATTGTGCTAATTCAAAGTTGCTGGTTGTTCTCATAGAAGCTTTTTTTGGTGGTGGTGGGCATTAGGCTATTTCTTAATTATATGAAATTATAATTTATATTAAAATTTTCTTTTGTTGCATTTGTGCTTAAAAGTGTTTGTTTAATGCTGCTATTCATTTTTTTTTAATTTCATGCAGCTTACTTTGATCATATTCTTTCCCTCCCAAAGTTCCTTTCAAATTGTGCTCCATATCCCTATCTGTCCAACTTCATTTTCCTTTTCTCTTGAAAAAAAAGAAAAACACAGAGAATGGGAGTCTGGTTTGTGTTAACTGACTACTTCTGACCGTGTGGCCTGCCTTGGAATGTGGATACTCAATGTTACCACATTGAAGAAAATTGATTTTCCCTTTTCTAGCAGTTATGAATTCTTGGCTAGGGCTGGGAATTGTGATCACCACTCAGAGCTCCTCCATGCTGGGATTTTTGAGGCTTGAGCTTATACAAGATATGTGCATCCTGTTGCAGTCTTTCTGAATCCTTATATTCATCTGTTGTTTCTGAAAAATGTTATCTGGGAAAAGTGGTTTTCTACTCCTGCCTAGAAATTTCTGCCTGCTTTTCCACATAGTTACCTGAGCTTTGAGGGAAAGGGTGTGATGTAGACATCCTGTTTACGGTTGGGGACTCCAAAGTCTCTCATTCTCTGAATATTGTCCAGTTGTAAGTCTCTTTGCTAATTACTATCCACGTAAAGAATCTTCTCTGATGATGTTTGAGTGATAAATTAACCAATTGAGTATAGCAATATGGTATTAGGATTGTTTTATTACTGTGTCCAATACTCGAACCTTGTTAATAGGGTTTCTCCTTTGAAATGTGACATCTTTTAAAAAAATTTTATTTGAATTAGAAAAATTATTTTACATGTCATTCCCAGTTCCTTCCCCCTCCCCTCCTCCCCTCCCCCCCAACTAACACTCTACCTATCCCATACCTTTTCTGCTCCCCAGGGAGTGTGAGGCCTTCCATATGGGGTCTTCAGAGTCTGTCATATCCTTTGGGATAGGGCCTAAGCCCACCCCCGTGTGTCTTGCCTCAGGCAGTATCCTTCCATGTGGGATGGGCTCCCAAAGTCCATTCCTATGCTAGGTATAAGTACTGATCCACTACAAGAGGCTCCATAGATTTCCGAGATCTCCTCATTGACACCTACATTCATGGGGTCCCGATCAGTCCCATGCTGCTTTCCCAGGCATCAATCTGGGGAACAGGAGCTCTCCCTTGTTCAGGTCAGCTGTTTCTGTGGGTTTCACCAGCCTGGTCTGGATGCCTTTGCTCATCACACCTCCTTCTCTGCAACTGGATTCCAGTTCAATTCAGTGATTAGCTCTGGGTGTCTGCTTCTAATCCCACCAGCTCATGGATGAACGCTGTAAGATGGCATATAAGTCAGTCATCAATCTCATTATTAGGGGAGGACATTTAAGGTAGCCTCTCCTCTGTTGCTTAGATCATTAGTTGGTATCATCTTTGTAGCTCTCTCTGTCATTTCCCTAGTGCCTGATTTCTTTTTAAACCTATAATGTCTCCCTCTATTATCATATCTCTTATCTTGCTCTCTTCTTTTCTTCCCCCAACTCAACCTTCCTACCCCATCATGTCCTCCTCACCCCTCTTCTTCTCCCTTTCTCATTCTCCTAGCTCCCCTAACCTATAATGTCTCCCTCTATTATCATATCTCTTATCTTGCTCTCTTCTGTTCTTCCCCCAACTCAACCTTCCTACCCCATCATGTCCTCCTCACCCCTCTTCTTCTCCCTTTCTCATTCTCCTAGCTCCCCTTCCCCTTCCCCCATGCTCCCAATTTGCTCAGGAGATCTTGTCCCTTTCCCCTTCTCCAGGGTACCATGTATGTCTCTCTTAGGGTCCTCCTTGTTTACTAGCTTCTCTGGCATTTTGAATTGTAGTCTGGCAATCCTTTTTTCTGTGTCTAAAATCCACATATGAATGAGTACATACCACGTTTATCTTTTTGTGATTGGGTTACCTCGCTCAGAATGATTTCTTCTAGTTCCATCCATTTGTCTGCGAATTTCAAGATTCCATTGTTTTTTTTCTCGGCTGTGTAGTACTCCATTGTGTAGATGTACCAAATTTTCTCTATCCATTCTTCAGTTGAGGGGCATCTAGGTTGCTTCCAGGTTCTAGCTATTACAAATAATGCTGCTACGAACTTTGTTGAACAGATGTCCTTGTTGTATGAATGTGTTTCTTTTGGGTATATGCCAAGGAGTGGAATTGCTGGATCTTGTGGTAGACTCCTTCCCATTTTCCTGAGGAGTAGCCATACTGATTTCCAAAGCGGCTGTATGAATTTGCACTTCCACCAGCAGTGGTGGAGTGTTCCTCTTTCTCCGCATCCTCTCCAGCATAGATTGTCATTGGTGTTTTTGATTTTAGCCTGAAATGTGACATCTTGTCACAGGTTCTTGGCCTCATTAAGTGTCAGGTATGAGTTACATCTCATGGAGTGGACCTTAAATTCAATCAAAAAGTATGTTAGTCCTGTATTTGTGCTATTATTGTGCCAGTAGTCATGTTTCAGAGAAAGCTGGTTATTGAAGCTCACAGGGATAATAGAACTGTCTCTTGATGATTACTTTTCTTCTGTGGTAGTGTTTATAGCACTGCTTAGCAATATAAAACATGGTGAGTAGGACTGAGGCTTGCAGTTGAGCATCAGATACATTTCTCATGAGGCATGATACATTTGTAATGTGTTCAGCAGATTAAAACTAACTTAAGGTTCTTGGTATTGTGGCATATAGACTATATCCAATAAGTCTTAAACCTGGAGTGGAAGGTAGTTGTTTAAAATGAAACAAGATGAAGCTGGTTATAATTAGGTGAACAAGTTATAAATGAGGAAGAAAGTTATAGTGGCAGTCAAATGATGTTACATCTGCCCTGGCAGCTGAGTATAGACTGTTCCTTTTTGGTGAAAAGTAAAAGTAGGATGACAGAGCTTCAGAAAATTTTAATACTTGTTATCACAAGTTTATTGTATGCATATTATATCATCTTTGAGTATGGAAAAATAAAAGAAGTAGAATGACTACTCTTTAAATTTGTAAAGTAAAACATTCCATGTAAATGCAGTTGAGCTTTGAATATATAGCTTGTCTCTCCCTCAAAAGCTTGTTTATTTAGAATTAATAGCTTTTACTATGCAAACTTATTTATTAATAAGCAAGCTGTTAAGGCGTTTACTGAACTATATCATTGGTTTAAATTTTATTTATTTATTTATCTATTTATTTATGTATTTATTGGACCAAAGTAAAATTAGTGTAGCAATCAGACCTCATCCAAAATATTAAAAATGTCTAAATTGGGCTGCCAGGTAACTGGAAGCTGCATATCACATGAGCATGTTAGGAAGCTTCGTTTCACCTGAGCCTTTTCAAGACAATACTGTAGTAGAGTGTATATGTTATTATTAGAACCTTTATAATTTGGCAGACATACTAAGTATAATGTGTTGTGGCTTAAAATGTACATAGTTTTTGTTTTTAATTTCATAACACAACAAAGTTGAGAAAAACCCACAAGCAAGAAAGTCAGCAAACCTTTGAAAGGTCAGGGCATAACTTTTGAAGGTGAAGCATCATGCCAAGGTGATTGTGTTGTTTTATCTATAGTGACTCTCACGGTGATTCCTGGGTATTGAATAATAGTGTAGTGTTTTCAGAAAGAAAGACTCTTTCATTTTAAGAAAACAATTTTTAAAAGTAACACAATGATAAATTGATAGAAATTTTCACTCTGCTAATTCAAATTAGTTATTCTAGTAAGTTCATCCTTTTTAGAGAATTAGATGTTTTTTTATTATAAACTCTTTTAATTTTTAAAAAAGAAAATTCTTTGTTGAGATTATAATTTAATTTTAACCTTTCTCCCTTCCCTTTTCCTCCCTCCAAACCCTACCATATACCCTCCTGCTCTCCAAAATCATGGCATCTTTTCTTACTAATTGTTTCTGCATGTATGTGTATATACATATATGATATATATTTAAATATACACTATCCAGTCTCTATAAAACTTGTGTGTATGTTTACAAAGCTGGCTTTTTGGCACCAGACAATCAGTTGTTGTGCTTTTACTTGAAGAAGGCCACTTCTCTAGTTTCCAGCTTTCCTTGGTTGCCTATAGTTCACTGTATAGGGCTGATGCATTGTGGACTTTTCTCTTTCCAGTTTGGCAAACAAGTAGTTAACACAATTATCTATGAGTGTAAAAACAAATGTTTATGGATTCTTCTCAGTCCAAGTAAAGAATTCTGGTAACAAAGGTGGTATGTGTTACACTGCGGCATACTTAGAGTTATCATGCTATGAGAGGCATAGTTTCACATCACTAGAGCATGATGGTAGCCTTCTTCATGACAAGGATTTAGTAGAGTGTATGCATTTGTAGTGGAGGCTTTATTATTTGGGGAAACATGGAGGACTAAACATAATGTGTTCTAGCTTTAAATGTCCATAATCTTTGTTTTTCATTCCATCCCTCAATGAAGCTGAGAAAAAACGCAAGGGCAAAACAGTCACCAAACCATGGAAAGACCAAACTGGATTTTTTGAAGATGCAGAATCAGGCTCAGGTGATTTCTTTTGTTTTCTTGATTCACCTGATTTTTTTGTTTGTATTGATTCACTTGATATTTACGGCATATTGATTAATGGTGTAATGTTATTAGAGGACAACACTGTCTTTCACTATTAAGCCAACAAGTTTAAGTATGAAAATGATAAATTCATAGACAATTTCAATGTGACAATTCAAATTTGTCTGTTTTTCTAATGAGTTTATCCATTTGGAGAATTAGATTGCTTCTTAATTGCCATTTCTTTTATGACTTCAAGGAGAATATCTCATTTTTAATATATTATTTAATTTCAACCTTTCTTCATACCCTTTCTTCCCTCTGAAACCTCCCATTTTAACCCACTTCTCTCTGCCAAAACTCATCACTACTTTCCCCACTGATTTTTAGTGATTGTATTTAAGAATATCTATAACCTCTCACCCACAAACACATAAACCCACACATATTCCTTAATATAACCTGTTTAGTCCTTTTAATAGTACCATTATCTATGTTTTCATGGCTGGCATTTTGGCACCAGACATGAATTTGCTTATTCTTGCTTGGGTATTCTCTCCTCTCCTGTACCAATTTCCTCAAGTTTTCTATGGTCCTTTGAGTAGGAATGAAGGCTGAAGGGCTTCTCACTGTCTTGTTCGTGTAAGTATTGGTGCCATTCTTGTTCAGGTCATGTTTGGGCAATGATGGTCATGAAATTTTATAGGTGTTTCTCCTGACGTTCCTAGATGACACAGTCTTAGAACAAATCCCTCACCCTCTGACTCTGATGATTTTCAGCCCCCTCTTTGGTAGTGTTCCCTGAGTCTTATTTATAGATGACACAGTCTTAGAACAAATCCCTCACCCTCTGACTCTGATGATTTTTCAGCCTGCTCTTTGGTAGTGTTCCCTGAGCCTCATTTATGTGCAGGAGTGTTCTGTAGCTGTATGCTTTCTGATTGGTCTCCATCATTGTCTGTTCGGATTGGTTGGGGATTTCTGCAGTGGTCTCTGGCTGTTGCAACAAAATTTGCCTTGATGAAGAATAAAGGCTGCAGTTACCTTCAGAGATAAGAACAAAGTTTGTAGATTGTTCTTAGGGCTTATGCTGTGTTAATAAGTTATCAGTTGTAGATTCTTCTCCAGTAATCATCATTTCACCAGCACAGAGTTTTTAGCAGGTTTTCAGTGCCAGGCATGCTCTCCCTGTTATTGAACCAGTCCTCAGTCCAAGTAAAGAATTCTGGTAACAAAGGTGGTATGTGTTACACTGCGGCATACTTAGAGTTATCATGCTATGAGAGGCATAGTTTCACATCACTAGAGCATGATGGTAGCCTTCTTCATGACAAGGATTTAGTAGAGTGTATGCATTTGTAGTGGAGGCTTTATTATTTGGGGAAACATGGAGGACTAAACATAATGTGTTCTAGCTTTAAATGTCCATAATCTTTGTTTTTCATTCCATCCCTCAATGAAGCTGAGAAAAAACGCAAGGGCAAAACAGTCACCAAACCATGGAAAGACCAAGCTGGATTTTTTGAAGATGCAGAAACAGGCCCAGGTGATTTCTTTTGTTTTCTTTTTGTTTGTATTGATTCACTTGATATTTACGGTCTATAGATGAATGGTGTAATGTTATGAGAGGACAACACTGTCTTTCACTATTAAGCCAACAAGTTTAAGTATGAAAATGATAAATTCATAGACAATTTCAATGTGACAATTCAAATTTGTCTCTTTTTATAATGAGGTTATCCATTTGGAGAATTAGATTACTTCTTGATTGCATGACTTCAAGGAGAATGGTCACATTTTTAATAGATGATCATTTAATTTCAACCTTTCTTCATACCCTTTCTTCCCTCTGAAACCTCCCATTTTAACCCACTTCTCTCTGCCAAAACTCATCACTACTTTCCCCACTGATTTTTAGTGATTGTATTTAAGAATATCTATAACCTCTCACCCACAAACACATAAACCCACACATATTCCTTAATATAACCTGTTTAGTCCTTTTAATAGTACCTTTATATATATTTTTTATGGCTGGCTTTTTGGCACCAGACATGAAGTTGCTTATTCTTTCTTGGGTATTCTCTCCTCTCCTGTACCAATTTCCTCAAGTTTTCTATGGTCCTTTGAGTAGGAATGAAGGCTGAAGGGCTTCTCACTGTCTTGTTCGTGTAAGTATTGGTGCCATTCTTGTTCAGGTCATGTTTGGGCAATGATGGTCATGAAATTTTATAGGTGTTTCTCCTGACGTTCCTAGATGACACAGTCTTAGAACAAATCCCTCACCCTCTGACTCTGATGATTTTCAGCCCCCTCTTTGGTAGTGTTCCCTGAGTCTTATTTATATGCAGGAGTGTTCTGTAGCTGTATGCTTTCTGATTGGTCTCCATCATTGTCTGTTCGGATTGGTTGGGGATTTCTGCAGTGGTCTCTGGCTGTTGCAATAAAAGTTGCCTTGATGAAGAATAAAGGCTGCAGTTACCTTCAGAGATAAGAACAAAGTTTGTAGATTGTTCTTAGGGCTTATGCTGTGTTAATAAGTTATCAGTTGTAGATTCTTCTCCAGTAATCATCATTTCACCAGCACAGAGTTTTTAGCAGGTTTTCAGTGCCAGGCATGCTCTCCCTGTTATTGAACCAGTCCTCAGTCCAAGTAAAGAATTCTGGTAACAAAGGTGGTATGTGTTACACTGCGGCATACTTAGAGTTATCATGCTATGAGAGGCATAGTTTCACATCACTAGAGCATGATGGTAGCCTTCTTCATGACAAGGATTTAGTAGAGTGTATGCATTTGTAGTGGAGGCTTTATTATTTGGGGAAACATGGAGGACTAAACATAATGTATTCTAGCTTTAAATGTCCATAATCTTTGCTTTTCATTCCATCCCTCAATGAAGCTGAGAAAAAACGCAAGGGCAAAACAGTCACCAAACCATGGAAAGACCAAACTGGATTTTTTGAAGATGCAGAATCAGGCTCAGGTGATTTCTTTTGTTTTCTTGATTCACCTGATTTTTTTGTTTGTATTGATTCACTTGATATTTACGGCATATTGATTAATGGTGTAATGTTATTAGAGGACAACACTGTCTTTCACTATTAAGCCAACAAGTTTAAGTATGAAAATGATAAATTCATAGACAATTTCAGTGTGACAATTCAAATTTGTCTGTTTTTCTAATGAGTTTATCCATTTGGAGAATTAGATTGCTTCTTAATTGCCATTTCTTTTATGACTTCAAGGAGAATATCTCATTTTTAATATATTATTTAATTTCAACCTTTCTTCATACCCTTTCTTCCATCTGAAACCTCCCATTTCAACCCCCTTCTCTATGCCAAAACTCCTCACCACTTTCCCCACTGTTTTTTTACTGATAGTATTTAAGAATTTCTACAACCTCCCACACACAAACACATAAACACACACATATTCCTTAATATAACCTGTTTAGTCCTTTTAATAGTACCTTTATATATATTTTTTATGGCTGGCTTTTTGGCACCAGACATGAAGTTGCTTATTCTTTCTTGGGTATTCTCTCCTCTCCTGTACCAATTTCCTCAAGTTTTCTATGGTCCTTTGTGTAGGAATGAAACCAGAAGGGCTTTTCACTGTCTTGTTCGTCTAAGTATTGGTGCCATTCTTGTTCAGGTCATGTTTGGGCAGTGATGGTCATGGAATTTTATAGCTTGTTTCTCCGATGTTCCTAGAAGACTGTCTTAGAGCAAATTCCTCACCCTCTGGCTCTGATGATCCTTTAGCCCCCCTTTGGTCGTCTTCTCTGAGTCTTATTTATATGCAGAATTGTTCTGTATGTATGCTGTTTGATTGGTCTCCACCACTTTCTGTTTTGATTGGTTGGGGATTTCTGTAGTGGTCTCTGGTGTTGCAACAAAAGTTGCCTTGATGAAGAATAAAGGCTGCAGTTACCTTCAGAGATAAGAACAAAGTTTGTAGATTGTTCTTAGGGCTTATGCTGTGTTAATAAGTTATCAGTTGTAGATTCTTCTCCAGTAATCATCATTTCACCAGCACAGAGTTTTTAGCAGGTTTTCAGTGCCAGGCATGCTCTCCCTGTTATTGAACCAGTCCTCAGTCCAAGTAAAGAATTCTGGTAACAAAGGTGGTATGTGTTACACTGCGGCATACTTAGAGTTATCATGCTATGAGAGGCATAGTTTCACATCACTAGAGCATGATGGTAGCCTTCTTCATGACAAGGATTTAGTAGAGTGTATGCATTTGTAGTGGAGGCTTTATTATTTGGGGAAACATGGAGGACTAAACATAATGTGTTCTAGCTTTAAATGTCCATAATCTTTGTTTTTCATTCCATCCCTCAATGAAGCTGAGAAAAAACGCAAGGGCAAAACAGTCACCAAACCATGGAAAGACCAAGCTGGATTTTTTGAAGATGCAGAAGCAGGCCCAGGTGATTTCTTTTGTTTTCTTTTTGTTTGTATTGATTCACTTGATATTTACAGTGTATTGATTAATAGTGTAATGTTATGAGAGGACAACACTGTCTTTCACTATTAAGCCAACAGGTTTAAGTATGAAAATGATAAATTTATAGACAATTTCAGTGTGACAATTCAAATTTATCTCTTTTTATAATGAGGTTATCCATTTGGAGAATTAGATTACTTCTTGATTGCATGACTTCAAGGAGAATGGTCACATTTTTAATAGATGATCATTTAATTTCAACCTTTCTTCATACCCTTTCTTCCCTCTGAAACCTCCCATTTTAACCCACTTCTCTCTGCCAAAACTCATCACTACTTTCCCCACTGATTTTTAGTGATTGTATTTAAGAATATCTATAACCTCCCACACACAAACACACAAACACCCACGTATTCCTTAATATAACCTGTTTAGTCCTTTTAATAGTACCATTATCTATGTTTTCATGGCTGGCATTTTGGCACCAGACATGAATTTGCTTATTCTTGCTTGGGTATTCTCTCCTCTCCTGTACCAATTTCCTCAAGTTTTCTATGGTCCTTTGAGTAGGAATGAAGGCTGAAGGGCTTCTCACTGTCTTGTTCGTGTAAGTATTGGTGCCATTCTTGTTCAGGTCATGTTTGGGCAATGATGGTCATGAAATTTTATAGGTGTTTCTCCCAATGTTCCTAGATGACACAGTCTTAGAACAAATTCCTCACCCTGTGACTCTGATGATCCTTTATCCCCCTCTTTGGTAGTGTCTCTGAGCCCTATTTATATGCAGAATTGTTCTGTATGTATGCTTTTTGATTGGTCTCTACCACTTTCTGTTCTGATTGGTTGTAGATTTCTGCAATGGTCTCTGGCTGTTGCAACAAAATTTGCCTTGATGAAGAATAAAGGCTGCAGTTACCTTCAGAGATAAGAACAAAGTTTGTAGATTGTTCTTAGGGATTATGCTGTGTTAATAATTTATCAGTTGTAGATTCTTCTCCAGTAATCATCATTTCACCAGCACAGAGTTTTTAGCAGGTTTTCAGTGCCAGGCGTGCTCCCCCTGTTATTGAACCAGTCCTCAGTCCAAGTAAAGAATTCTGTTAACAAAGGTGGTATGTGTTACACTGCGGCATACTTAGAGTTATCATGCTATGAGAGGCATAGTTTCACATCACTAGAGCATGATAGTAGCCTTCTTTATGACACGGCTATGTTAGAGAATTTGCATTAGCATTTATTCTAATGCTAAATATGTATTAGGCTTTATTATTTAGAAAACATAGTGGATGAAACACAATGTCTTCTTGCTTGTAATGTACATAATTTTTTTATTTTCTTTTCATCCCTCAATAAAGCTGAGAAAAAACGTAAGGGCAAAACAGTCACCAAACCATTGATAGACCAAACTGGAGATTTTGAAGATGAAGAAGCAGACCCAGGTAATTGCTTTTTTTTTATTCACATGATTTCAATATATTGATTAATGGTGTAATGTTATTAGAAGTCAACACTATTTTTTTACTTTTAAGGAAACAAGGTTAAGTACCACAGTGAGAAATTGATAAAAATTTTCTCTGTGATAAGTCAAGTATGTCTCTTTTTATAATAAGAATACTTTTTGAGAATTAGATTACTTCTTAATGGAAATATTCTTTTCATGTTTCAAGGAGAATGATTTCATTTTTCATAGGTTATTGTTTAATTTCAACCTTTTGTTGCTCCAAAACCTCCCATTTCACCTCCCTCTTCTATTCTAAAATTCATGTCCACTTTTCCCACTAGTAGTTAGTGATTGTATTTAAGAAAATATAGACTGACATTCTCATTCTCTCTCTCTCTCTCTCTCTCTCTCTCTCTCTCTCTCTCTCTCTCTCTCTCTCTCTCTGTCTCTGTCTCTCTCCTTAATATATGTTGTTCAGTCTATATAATACTACTTGTATGTTTGTTTGTTTGTTTGTTTGTTTGTTTTTCTGACTGACGTTTTGCCACCAGACATGAATTGGTATATTCTTCCCTGTGTATGCCATCATCTCCTGTTTTCAGTTTCCTTTATTTTTCTATCACCTTTGAGTAGGGGTGAAGCCTGATGGGCTTTCTCTGTCCTCTTTGTGTATTGTTTTTGCCATTCTTGTTCAGGTCATGTTTCGGCGGTGATGGTCATGAAATTTTATAGTTTTTTCTTCTAATGTTCCTAGAAGAGAATACACAATATTAGAGCAAATTTCTTACCCTCTGGCTCTGATAATGTTTTAGTTCCAAGTTGGGTAGTGTTCCCTGAGCCTTATATTCAGGAATGTTCGGTAGGTGTCTGTAGGTGTATGCATTCTGATTGGTCTCCACCACTCTCTGTTCTGATTTATGCAGTGGTCTCTGGCTGTTGCAACAAAATTTGCGTTGATAAAGAGGAAAGGACACAGTTATCTTCAGATATAAGAACATAGTTTGTAGATTGTTCTTAGGGATTATGCTGTGTTAGTAAATTAGTGGTTGTAGATTCTTCTCCAGTCATCATCATTTCACCAGCACAGAGTTTTTAGCAGGTTTTCAGTGCCAGGCGTGCTCCCCCTGTTATTGAACCAGTCCTCAGTCCAAGTAAAGAATTCTGGTAACAAAGGTGGTATGTGTTACACTGCTGCATACTTAGAGTTATCATGCTATGAGAGGCATAGTTTCACATCACTTATGCATGATCGTAGCGTTGTTTATGTCAAGGCTACATTGGAACACATGCGTTAGTATTGGAGGCTTTATTATTTGGGGAAACATGGAGGACTAAACATAATGTGTTCTAGCTTTAAATGTCCATAATCTCTGTTTTTCATTCCATCCCTCAATAAAGCTGACAAAAAACTCAAGTGCAAAACAGTCACTAAGCTATGGAAAGGTCTAGCCGGTTTTTTTGAAGATGAAGAAGCAGGCCCAGGTGATTGGCTCTGGTGTATGTGTGTATATATGTGTGTTTTATTATAAATATAAATGATTTATAAAAATTAAGTGTGTATGAATAAACATAAATTGTTAAGTGTATTGCAAGCACCTTGTGAATATATATACATCTACTATATATGTGCATATATGTGTGTGAATATATAATATATATATATATGTTGTTTGCCATATATTGATTCATAATGTGTTTGCCATATATTGAATGATGATGTAATGTTTTTATAAAGAAAATCTTTTTTATATTTTATAAATAAGTGTAGCAAGTAGCTCAGTGATAAATTCAGAGAAATTTTCACTGTGATTATTCAGAATTGTTATTGTAAGAAGTCAATTCTTTTTGAGATTTGTATTGTTCACTGATTATAGCTTTTTTCATGTTTTCAAAGTGAAAAGTCTCTTTTATTTTGAGATTATAATTAATTTCAACCTTTCTCCCTCCCTGTTCTTCCCCCCAAGTTTTCTATATACCCCTCCTTTTATCCACCATATATATGACCCCTTTTCTCACTAATTGTTAGTGCTTGCATTCAAGAATATCTGTATACCTGTATAGTCCTGAATATAACTTGTTCAGCCTCTATAATAATAACTCTATGCCTGTCTTTTTAACACCAGACAGGAAGCTTGTATGGTCTTAGGTGGGGATTCCCACCTCTCCCTTTCCCACCTTTCTTCTGTTTTTTATAGTTCCTTCTTACAGGATTTAGGCCTCCTGGTCTGCTTTCTGTCCATTTTGTATATGTATTAGTGTCTCTTGTTCAACTCTCATTTGAGCAGTGATGTTAGCAATTTTTTCCTATATTACTAGGAGACAAAGTATTAGATCAAACTTTCTCACCCTCTGTCTGTTAAGATCTTCCTACACTCTCTTGTGTAGAAATGTTTTGTCGATGTATCGATTTGACTTGGTCTCTACCACTCTTTGCTTTGATTAGTCGTGGTTTTCTATAATGGTTTCTATCTGTTGCAAACAAAAATTCCCTTGATAAAGAGTAATGAATACAGTTATCTTCATGTATAAGGACAATGTTTATAAATTATTGTTAGTGATTTTAATTAGTAAATTAATTGTTGTAGATCCTTTTCTGCTAACTATCATTTCACCAGCACAGAGGGTTTAGCTGGTTTTCCAGTACCAGGCAAGCTCTCCCTCTTGTTGATCAAGTCTTAATTCCAAGTAAAGAGCTGTTGGGTACAAAGAAGATATACCACTGCTGCATACTTACAGTCTTCATTCCATGATTGGCATTGGTCCACTTCACATCAGTATGATGGTAGCCTGCTTTATGACACGGCTATATTAGAGCATATGCGTTAGTTTTGCAGGCTTTATTGTTTGGAAAACATAGTGGATGAAACATAATGTGTTCTTGCTTTAAATGTACATAATCTTTGTTGTTCATTTTATACCTCAATAAAGCTGAGAAAAAACTCAAGGAGAAAACAGCCACCACACCGTGGAAAGGCCTATCCGTCGTTTTTGTAGGTGAAGAAGAATGCCCAGGTGATTGCTTTGTTTGGGGATTTTTTTCATGGTGTTTTTTTTTTAAATCTATACTTTTTCTCATGTTTTCCATGTATTTAATAATGTTGTAGTTGTTTTAGAAGAAAAGACTTGTTTTTACTTTCAAGAAACAAGTATAAGAAATATCATAATGAAAATATGATAGAAATTTTCAGTGTGGTAGGTCAAATTTGACTCCTATTGTAATAAATTCACCCTTTTGGAGAATTAGACTTTTTCTGAGTATAGATTTTCATATTTTAGAAATCTATTTTTGAGAAAATAATTAAATTTCAACCTTTCTCCTTATCCTTTCCTTCCCCCAAACCTCCCATCTATGCCTCCATCTCTCAGCCAAATGTGTGGCCTCTTTTCTCAGTAATTGTTAATGCTTGCTTTCAGGAGTATCTATGCACACATACATCCCTGAATATAACTTGTTCTGTCTGTATAATAATAACTGTATGTATGTTTTCATTGCTGGCTTTTCACAGCAGATAATGAATTGATATACTTTTCCCTGGGGATTCCCATCTCTCCAGTTCCCCCTTTCTTCAGTTTTCTATAGTTCTTTTGTTTAGGGTTTTAGGCCTTGTGGGCTTTTCTTTGTCCAGTTTGTATATGTATTCATGTCATTCTTGTTCGGCTCATGTTTAGGCAGTGATGTTCATGAGATGTGTTTTTCTCCTGATATTAGTAGGAGACACAATCTTAGAGCAAATTCCCTCACTCTCTGGCTCTTTGTAATCTTTTACCTCCTCTTGGGCAGTGTTCCTGGGTCTTATCTTATGTGCACGAGTGGTCTGTAGATGTGTCCATTCTGACTGGGCTCCAAAACTCTTTGATTTGCTTAGTTTCAGATTTTTGTAATGGTCTATTCCTGTGGCAAACCAGTGTTTTCTTGATGAAGATTAAAGACTTACTATTATCTGTGGGTATGAAGACAAATGTTTCTAGATAGTTGTTGGGGCCTATGATGATTTAAATCGTTAAATTTGTGGTTGTTGCAGATCATCCTCCAATAACCATCACTTCTCTAGCACAGAATTTTTAGCTGGGTTTTCAGTACCAGTCATGGTTTCCATTGTGTTAAATGGATCTTGAATCCAAGTAAAAAGTGTATTTAGTTACTGCCAAGGTATGCATGCTACTAATGTATCCTTAGAGTTATTGTGCCATGTTGTTTATTGTTAAAAGTCATGTGAGTATGATGGTAACATCTTCATGACTATGCTGCATTAGAATCTTTATTATGTAGCATGCATACTGGAACATTATATGTTCCAGCTTTAAATGTCCATAATCTTTGCTTTTCATTTCATACTTAAACAAAGCTGAGAAAAAACGCAAGGGCAAGACGGGCACCAAATCTTGGAAAGACCAAGGCAGATTTTTTGAAGATAAAGAAGCAGCCCAAGGTGATTGCATTGTTTTTTTTTTTTTTAAATTCATATTGATTTGCTAGGAGTCTGCCATATAGTGTATAACAGTGCAGTGTTTTTAGAAGACAATATTGTTTTTCACTTTCTTATAATTCATTTATTCTTTTAAATTTCATTTTACATTACAACTCAGTTTTCCTTCTCACCCCCCTTTTGCCTCCCCGCAAGCCTTCCCCCAGTCCACTCATCCTCACCAGTAAGGGCTCCCATAGGTTGGGATAGGGCCAAGCCCCTCTTCCATGCATTAAACTGTGCACCGCATGTTGGTATGTTTTTCACTTTTAAGGAAACAAGTGTAAGTACTATAGTGATAAATTCATAGAAATTTTCACCGTGATAAGATACGTGAGTATCTTGCATTAGATGCTTTATTATTTAACATGCATACTGGAACATAATGTATTCCAGTTTAAATATGCATAAGTTTTGTTTTTCATTTCATACCTCAACAAAGCTGAGCAAAAACGTAAGCGCAAAAGAGCCAGCAAATTTTGGAAAGAGCAAGCCAAACTTTTAGAAGATGAAGAAGCAATTCCAGGTAATTCCTTTGCCTTAGTTTTCTGTATTGCTTTACAAGTTTTTTTCTCAATAATAGCATATTCTTTCTGAAAGACAGTTTTTGTGTTTGAAGAAATCTAATACAAGAAGTAGCATAATGATAAATTGATATAATTTTCTCTGTGCTAAATCAAATCTGTTGGTTATTCTACTAAGTTCATATTTTAGACAATTAAATTGTTTCCTGATTAGAAAATTAAAGTACCTAACATTTAATTTTGAGTGGTATTCTTGTTTAAACAATATTTTATTTTTAATGACTTTATTTATTGTTACAAAATTTATACCTTATGTTTTGATCTTATTGTGTCCTCTCCCACAACTCTTCCAATGTCTTTCCTCACTTTGCTTTTTATAGGATACTATGTTCCTTCTGTTTCTTAACAAAAACACAAAACTTACAAAAAATACATGTCTAAATTGTATTCATGTAATACTGAATACTGTGACTGCCCTAGAGTGGCTTATATTTACCTTGGCACTCTATTGAAGAAAACTAGTTTTTCTTTTACAGCAGCTATCAGTTTTGAATATAGATTCTTAGCTAAGGGCCACTATTTTGTATCTACTTCACCTTATCCATGCTGGAATTTTTTTCTGGCTTGAGCTTGTGTATGTCTTGTGCATTTTGTCCTGTTCTTTCTGGGTTTGGATGTGTGTCTTCTTTGTTGTTTCTGGAAAATGCTCTCTCATCAAAGTCATTTTGTCCCACTGGTTAAATTCTTTTTGCCTGTTTTTCCACATAGATAACTGACCAATGAGGGGGTAGAGTGACAAAGATAGCTCATTGAGGGTTGAGTACTCCAAAGTCTCTTATTCTCTGCACATGGTCCATTTGTAGGTCGCTTTGTTAATTACCAACCACTGCAGGAAACTTCTCAAAAGATGGTTGAGTGTATCACTAATCATTAGTAGTCAATAACAGTATGTCATTTATTTAGGAGTCATTTTATTATTATGACAATTTATCAGAATTATACTAATAAGAATTCTCCTAGTACATTGGCCTTTGTTGTAACAGTTGGTTTTATTCCCTCATTACCAGTATCAATTTTGGGTTCCATTTCATGGAGTGGGCCTTAAATCCAATAAAAAACTGGTTGGTTACACCAAAAAATTTTTGCTACAATTGTGACTATGAACCACAGCCAGTAGAAGTGAAGCTTCCATTTGCATACCAACTCTGTTTTTCCATGTTCCTTGACATAGTATTGGCATGTTCAACAAATTAAAACTACTTTGATATTCTTACCCTCAAGTTGTAGAGGGCAACAAGTAGCATTGGCAATGCCCTGTAGTGTTAGATGTGGGACCCCTTTCGCCAACACCTCAAAAAGTGGTAACCTACCTATTCCTGGTATAGGGTTGGACTTTGGTAGCTTGTGCTGTAGAGTTGGTATGTTGTCCCTCCATTATAAGGTCACTCCACTTGAACTCATTTTATATTTATTTATATTTCAGGAAGCCTTCGTTGTAGTAGGTTTCCATTTGACTTCTTTGAGAGTTTTTTAAAAATTAATTTTCCCTCCCCATATTCCCTCCTCTACCCTTCCCCTCCCATACCCCACCTCCTTTAATTCTCTTGTTCTAATTTTCCTTTTATAACACTATATTCTATTTCCTGCTCCTTGGAAGTTTCTGTCTTCCCCCTGTTCCATTTATAGCTACCTATCTGTCTTTTTTCCAGTACATATTTTTGTTTCTTTGACAAAAATCAGGTGTCTGTAGGTATGTGGGCTTATAGCCAGGTCTTGACTCTATTGCATGATTCAGTGTGTCTATTTTTATGCCAACATCATGCTGTTTGTGTTAATATAGCTCTGCAGTAAAACTTAAAGTCAGGAAGGGTAACAACTTCAGCAGTTCTCTAGTTTGTGATTATATTAGCTATCCTGATTTTGTGTGTTTCCATATGAAAGTGAAGATTATTTATTATATTTCTGTGATGGATTGTGTTGTAATTGTGATGGGAATTGCATTTAATCTGTAGATTTCTTTTGGTACAATGGCCATTTTCACAATATTGGTCCTACCCAATACACCTTTAATCCCAGCGCTTGGGAGGCAGAGGCAGACAGATCTCTGTGAGTTCGAAGCCAGCCTGGTCTGTAGAGAGAATTCCAGGACAGGCTCCAAAGCAATACAGAGAAACCCTGTCTTGAAAAACAAAACAAAACAAAAGTATTCCTTTATGATTCTCATAATTTTCTTAGTATCTATTGTATTGTCATTCTATTCATCTCTAGTTTTACTAATTTGGAGCTTATTTAAAATAATTTTCACAGTAACATTTGTGAAGTTTTAAAGATAAGCTTAAACTATTTTAGTCATATGATAGTGTTTTTACTATATATTTTTCTTTAATTTTTGTTGTTAAGCCCTTTTCTCAGCTCTTTCAATGAAAAGTACTGAGAACACACCACCTTCCTCCTCTGAACAACCAAAATCTTCCACCTCTGAGAAAACTAAGTCTTCCACCTCCAAAGGGGCTCAATCTTCAAAGAAGTCTCCACGGAAAACAACTATTGTACTGCCAGCGGCAAAGACCAGCAAGAAATCAGGACAACCTAAGCCAACTGGAGATACTTCAGCTCCTAAGAAACGCATGGAAGTTAAAATTGTCTTCCCAAAGAAAAAAGGTGGAAAAAAGGTTAGTCATATCTCTAGCTAATTTGTATTTTAATGTCTCTGTATTGGAGCATTATTTTTAACATGCAGGTTAGCAATTTACTAAGACTACACTGAAGTTTTTAGGACTGTTTTAAATGTATAAGGCTCTTTTTGTCTTAGTTAGGTTTTCTATTGTGATGAAACAAATACAACTTATGAGGAACTTATACTTCTATATCACAGTTCATCATCAATGACAGTCAAGGCAGAAACTCAAACAGGGCAGAAAGGAGAACTGAGGTTGGGGGTGTAGCAGAAGTAATATCTAAAATAAAGTAGTCATTTGACAGAATTAACTACTATTTACTGGTGGTAAAAGAACAGAGTAAATGAATTGGAGAATAGAATAGAAACTATCCAATCTGAAAAACTGATACAGTTGAGAAAGACAGTAAGTTGAAATTTCCTTCATGTGTGTAATTAGTCAGGAGGAAGAGAGGAGGGGATAGATTGGAGCAGGAAAATGCTAAGGAAAGGTTTTTTTTTTTTCTTATAATCATTTCTAGTCCAGTACAGTTTATATCACAGACAGATATAAATACACACATTATGTATGTATTACATTATGAAAGCCTGAATGTGGAGGATAAGTATCTATATAATTGTAATTTCAACATTTTATATGAAATGGTACATTGTGGATTTTTATTTGAAAATTATGCAAAGTTATGGATGAGCCTCTACTTATAATGTAAAACTTGTAAAGATTTTTTAGGCTAATTGTCCCTAAAATTCCAAGGAAGAAATTAAAATGGAATTTTAAGTATTCAAATAATCCCTCAAAAGATAGGTTACATAGTCGAGTGGTGATGGCCCACACCTTTAATCCCAAGGAGGGAGAGGCAGGCAAATATTTGTGAGTTCAAAGCCAGCCTAGTCTACAGAGTAAGTTCCAGGACAACTTCAAAACTACACAGAGAAATTCTGTCTTGGAAAACAAAAAAACAAAGATAGGATATGTGGAGCCACCACAACAAAAACAAATAAAGGAAACAAAGTATATAATCATTTATTCAGACCCAAATATAATAATAATCATAGTAAACATTAATAAATTAAATCCTTGATTAAACAGCAGAGATTTAAGAACTAGAATTTTTTTTTTGGTTTTTCAAGACAGAGTTTCTCTGTGAGCTTTGGAGCCTATCCTGGCACTCACTCTGTAGACCAGGCTGGCCTCGAACTCACAGAGATCCACCTGCCTCTGCCTCCTAAGTGCTGGGATTAAAGGTGTGCGCCACCAACGCCCGGCTAAGAACTAGAATTTTAAAAAGACTCAAATATAGTGTCCATAAGGCATGCATTCTAAATATAATGGTAAAAGTATCTCAGCAGTATTCTCTTATACATCTAGTATTTCCATGTGATATCACCATAACATTTGTTTCTATGAATGCTTGCCATATGGAAGAAAGTAATGTCATCTTGTTTTAAAATACTTACACTATTACATCTATTTAAAACATTTAAAATTTACAAAAATCAGTATGAAATATTTGTAAATATATTTTGATAAACATAAAAAGATAGTTCTAGCATTTTAAGTGGGGAATAAAATTCAGAAAAGTTGATCTTCAAATTTAATGTGAAAATACATTTGAAAACATGTATTTTCAGTTGTCCAGAAAGTTAGTGTAATGTTAGTGATAATATCTTGATTCCTGTGTTTTCTAGTATTAATACTAGTACAATTTTGCAGAGGTATTTTGGTACACATAATTTAATGACAGAGATAAAGGACAAGTAGTGTAATTCATAATTTGTATTTTTTCAAAAGCATCATTTCAGTTCATTATCTAACTTCATTATTTCATCATGAAAAAATAAAAGATGTTCACAGTTTTAATAACTGAGAAAGTTTTTGAGCTATAGAAAATATTCTTAAAATAGACTCTTTTGTGAACTGTCATTTTCTTCCTACATTTAAGATTTTACCACGGGGACTAGAGAGAATGGTTAAGAGCACTGGCTGGTCTTCCACAGGGCCTAGGTTGGATTCTCTCACTCACAAGGCAGCTCACATACCTCTATAACACCAGTTCCAGGGACCCAATGCCCTCTTCTGTCTTCTGTGGGCACCAGGCATGCAAGTGGTCTACGGACATATATACAGACAGAATATCCACACATAATAAAATTTAATCAAATTTAATTTTAGAAACTTTTATAAACATATGTTAGTACATTTTCTAAATAAATATTTATTCATGTTGGAATATTAAATGTACTATCTTTCATCAAATGGTTAAGAATTTTGAAATGTTGAAAAAATAAAATTTGTAATTCAATACTTATCATGATTTATTAGACCACTATAAATCTAGATAAGCCATTAATTTGAAGTATATCTCAGCAACCTTAAATGATACTCTTGTATTTTACTCTTTTGTCTTTTTGTCATTTCTCTAGGCACAAGAGTCCCTTTTGTGATATTGCAAAGCAGTTTGAAAATATCTCCTAGAAAAATCCCAAGATTTCACATAAACAGAAAACTAGTAATATTAAATTGTGTGTAAGAGACATCTGTCTCTTATGTGCAACAAGCAGTCTTCACCAAATTATTTATAATTTTGTGGAAATTATTGGTGGCTAGACACAATGGGAATGAACAGCTGCTTTCTAAAGCCCTCTGCCTTGCTGACGTTATTTTTGCTTATTAGAAGAGATTTATATAATTAACAGTGATTTAAGAAAACATGTCTTGCATGGAACCTCAAAAAATATTTTGAGGTTGACAGATTTTACACTAATTTGACTCAGGTATCATGAGAAGATGGGATAGAGAATCCTACTTAGCCTTTTGGCCCCTTTCTTTAGCACCTGAACATCTTGTAGGCCTGAGTTCAGTTTCCAAAGCACTGCAGTTCTTGGTATCCAGAAGGGTTCAACCTTTTTAGTTAATTGATGATTTTGTGATTCAGTGATGTCTACCTTTTTTTCTAATCTAGAAGCTTTTTAAAAGAACATACACTGTATTCTTTATTCCTTCTTTAAAAAACAGGAAAAATGCATTCCAGTTGTGTCTTCTACATCTTCAGCTTCTCTCAGTTCACTGATGAGAAGCTCATCATCTGATAATTCTTCTGTGGTGCCATCTAAAATAGTGATGTCTACAGGTAAGTTAGTATTTTCAAAACAGCAATAAACATATTCGGTATTGATTTCAGTGTTGTGGAAGTATTGAAAATGAGTAAAATATTGTATTTTGTTAAGCTGATAGTTTGGCTTAATGTTAAGCAGAAACAGTCTATTTAAATCCATGTCACCTAAAAATACATATCCAACATTTTGAATTTGTGTCATTATCAAATTCTTCTACTTTATTTTCAGATTATTTTGTCACTTCATATTATATGTGTTTTCAAGGTAACTCATGTCTTTTGAAAATAATTATCTGTCAAAGGCCATGGTGATTTTAAATTCTTTGGTTGGTTTGAAAGAGCATAGAACAAAGCAAATCCTTTTTATTATCCCCTGTACATTTCCTTAATCTTTTTGTAGTTTAATTTTTTTCATTTTTATTTTGTATGTATGAGTGTGTTTGCTTACGTGTGTATTTGTGCACCATGTATGTGCCTCGTACCCAGAAGTGAATGTCAGGTACTCTGGGACTAGAGATGCTGACAGTTGTAAGCTGTCGTGTGAGTACTGGTAAGCAAACCCAGGCCCTCTGGAAATAGCAGCTTGTGCTCTTGAGTCATTCTCTAGCACCTCGTTCTTGTTTTAAAAAGGTGTGTCCTATGCTTTTATATCCTTAATTACCTCTTTTCTATTTATTATTATTATTTTTAAATTAGTAACAAGCTTGCTTCACATGTCAAAATTGCCTCCTTTATACTTTTACATTTCTTGAACTTTTCCTTATCATATTTTCTCACTTAAAAGGAAATTATTTTTTGAAATACCACTTGTTTTTCAAAGATTCTTTTAGCACACTTCATTTCTTATTATTTATGATTTTTGATCCACTAGCTAAGTGAATACAAAGCTTATCATATCTAATCCAAGAATGTGAACTCTGAACCTTTTGAGTACTGACATGACACCAGAAGTAAAAATCACCTGACTTCATATGGTGGTTTGCAATCAAAACACATATGAGTTACAATCAAAATTATTATATCAAACTACGTTCAGGCTTTGTGTATAAAGTGTATATGAAGTATACATGAATTTTATGCTCAGACTTAAATCTCATCCCAAGTTACCTCATTATGTTTGTACTAAATATTCTGGTACCAATGATTTTGTCTAAGAGATGTTCAACATGTGTAGTAGAAATATAAAACATTGAAATCCTTCTTTTGCTTTACTTCCTGAATGTATCTGTGCCATTGTCCCCTTGGGCTGAAGTTTTTAATCACTGTTCCATGTTTATCCTTCCTGTGACTATTGGGACAAGTCGAATTGTCATATATTTCAACCCAGTGAAACTGAGATGAATGGGTTTTTAGTATACTAAATATATATGTATATATAATTTTTCAGTACAAATTAATAGTTTAAAATGTCCTTGATTTAAGGAAGCAATAGCTTCAATAATGATAAATCTGCATGTTGTTATAGTATATATTGGTTTGCATTTGCCGATTTAAATTATCTACACTTGACACTGTGATTTTTAGATGAGAAACTTTGGTAATATATGCTTTTATTGTACAAAGAAAATAGTTTAAGAATTTCCTCAATGAGCCTAGGCAAATAGAGATGGAAATTTTATTTTCATATTCAAACTTTATGTTATTAGAACTTATTATTAAATATACCTTAAATCATTTGATTACTTTTGAAAATGCAATTGAAGTACACTATTGGTAATTTACAAGAAATTTAGTCATAAATGAGTAAGGGTGACCAATTTTTAAAGGAAATGCACACGCTATATGTACAAGGAACTTGGGTAGGTAAGAATTGGAAAAGCTCTAGGAGGATTTGGAGAGGAAAAGATCAAAATTTAAAGAAAAACAGGAAACTACTCTTTAATTTTTGTACCATTTCTTGCAATAATAATTAAAATGATTATATGATGCCTCTATGTCTTCTCAAACATATATTTTATATAATCAGCTTGGGTAGAATCCTAAAATACTGCAAAAGCTCCTTTTTTATTACTTGCTTGTACAAAATCCTTATATAAGTATGATAATATATCTACCGGCATGCTTTCAGTAGCAGAAATGATCATCGATATGAATTATATTTAAGTTTCCTTTAAATGAAGTCACTAGTAGGGTATGTCAATTATGTAATATTTTCACAAAATTTATTTTAATTAATCTCATTGTTTATATTCATTTTTCTCAAGTCTGTGTCTATATAAATAAACATGGAGATTGTGGCCCCTACCTGGATCCACAGAAAGTTCGGCAGCTGCCTGACCACTTTGGCCCAGGCCCCGTGAATGTGATTCTCCAACGGACTGTGCAGGCGTGTGTTGATTGTGCCATTGACACCAAGACTGTGTTTTTACTTCTTAAGCCAGATAATCGAGGAGGAGAAATAATAACTGGTATATTAATCTAATTCTTTATTCAAATTCTGTTCTAAATTTGATTTGAGGCTTAGAAAGGCAGACTGTTTTATGGATTAGTTAGAATATTTATACTATAATATTTTATTATACTGATAGAATAAATATAATGGTTATATGCTTACAAAATTTTAACTCTTATTTGGAAACTTTACTTTTATCAAAGCAGACAGATGAGAATCAGGTATTGTGGCACATACCCATTCTCCTTGTACTCAGAAGTCTCAAACAGAAGGATTACTATGAGTTCAAGGGAACACTGGACTATAAGTAAATTACCGGGGTGAGCTAAGGCTATATAGTGAGAGCCTGTATCACACAAACAAAAAGCAAAATAGACAATTGTCAGCATAATACTGTAAGTTTAAGTAAAAAATACTGATTTTTTTCCTTGTACATGCTTTGTTAAGCTAGATATTTAGGCATAGTACACTGGTTGAATTAAAAGTTTTAATTTTTATAGAAAATCTTACTAAGATAAAATGAAAAGGCTAGGCATTGTAGCTCAGGGGTAGTGTGCATTCCCTGCATGTACAAGGCCCTGAATTTAGTACCTAGCACTATAAAAAAACTTTTAAAAATAGAGTAGAAGAGAAGTAAGTTATAGCCAGTGTCTATCATGATTGTATAAGCAGATACCATAACATTTTACTCATGGGATGTTTAGAATAGGGTTACTGTAAAGCAAACCATTTCTATTCCCCTGTGTATGGATATTTAAATAGGATTTTTAATCAGTTCTTTATTAAATCCCAAAATCCAGAAAGTAAACTTTAAAAGTACATTTCCTGATTTTATTCTTTTGTTATTGTATTTCTCATCTGTCTATAAGACGACTGATGACTGACATTACCTCCCCACTTTATAGCCTTCTTTGATGCGAAAGTTCATACTGTTCAGCTCCCTCCAGTAAATAGTGCATCATTTGTGCTTCGCTTTCTTGAAAATTTCTGCCACAGCCTTCAGTGTGATAAGTTTTTGAGTAGTCAGCCTTTCAAACCCAGGGTTCGTATTCATACCCCTGCTACAGACCTTGATCAAAACAAACCAGGTAAGAAAATTTTTTATACTATATATTTAAGATATTGTGGGGGGAGGGATCAGGAACAGTGCACATATGGAGGCCAGAGAATAAGTTTATAAAGTCGGTTCTCTCCTTCCATCTTTGCATAGATTCCAGGAATTGAACTCAGATCAACAAGCTTTATAGGAAATGTCTTTATCTGCTGACCCCTAATATGCTTTTATTTTGCATTTTATACTCGGGAATCTAGGTATTCCAGAGTTTTTCTTTCTGTCATCCTCAAACATGTAGCTACACTGAACTAATGAAGAATGCGTAATATATAATTATACTTCCTTCACCTAAAGTAAGAAACTAATTTCTTACTGTATTCCTGGTGAACTTGAGAATCAAAGCTAGTGTGTTACGTTTTGCTTCTGTGTGACCAGTTGATAGTTAAGACATTTTCTGTTAGGTTAAGGCATGACTTTTATGTTATTTACCTTAATCTAAAGAAAGTAGCAAAGACTATTGAGCTCATAGATTATAAAGAATGATTTTCTCAAAATTGGCTATGGTTACTTGTCTTTCATAGACTCTCAAGCTGATGTCTGAATAAAAAGAAGAGTGCAATGTTGTCCTATAGAACCAAGGGTGATACTCTTGTTTTTAATCTCTACAGTGAAAAACTTGTGTTTGCTTTTTGGCAGTTTTTTTTTTCTGGAAGAAAAGTTTGTTGCTCTTTCATGTGACTATTGACAGGTGTTCTGGTAGAACACATAGAAGTTTATGTGTCTTAAGAGTAACTAAAAGTTTTCTAGCCAAATGCTGTCAATTCTGGAACTATAGAATTGACAGACAGTCTGTTTAAGTTCACTGTATTCCAGTAGGGAGAAAACTAGGTTATCATCTCCAGTTACTCATTTTCTGGTCTTTCTGATTATTCTCATTTTTTCTCATAAACCTTATTGCTTTTGTTTCAGTGAAATCTCCCTTTCTTGTCCCTCCTTTCCCATTTCTTTGCCACTACCCTCATCCCATTCAGAATCCCTTTTCTGGTTTAGTAAAGTGATCTCCTAATTGGAGTCCCCTTTCTAGTTCCTCCCTGATGGTGTAACTGTCCAGTGAATCCCACTGAAATAAAGTTATGATACAGGAACTCCTTGCATGAAAGTACAATAGTCACGCAAGGGGTTGGAATTTATCAAATCTGGGTTCCAATGCTGACTCTGTAACCTGCATACTAAAAGGATGTGAAGTCTGGCAGACCTAAATTTTAATCTAAGGCCTGCTATTAGTTAGAATTATACTTTATGGACAAAGTACTGATCCTCCCTGGTTCTCAGTTTGCCTCTCTGCAAAGTGATTACTTTCTGAATTGTGAGGAAATATGTACAGTCATGTCTGTTGGCATAGACTTGTAATCTCAACTACTGGAGAGTTTGAGGCAATCTTAGGCATATTTGAGATACAGTGTTGAGTTCAAACCTAACTTGTAGCTTGGGCAGCTTACTGAGATTCTGTATTAAAATAGAAAGTAAATAGGGTATATAGCTCAGTGATAGAGTGCTTGCATGGTTGTGCGTGTGTGACCACAGGATAAATAAAATTTAGATATATCTTACCTAGATACTTCTAAATTATTGAATACACACATTGCAGGTGTAAAACACAAAATAAATTTCCAAAGTCGTCCAGCCAATCAGTAAGTAAATGACCCATGTATGTATGTATGTATGTATGTATGTATGTATGTATGTATGTATGTATGTATGTGATAGGGCCCACAAAACCCAGAAGGGGGCATCAGATCTCTTGAAGCTTACAGGCATTTGTAAGCTGCCTAATGTGGGTGCTGGAATCTGGTCTCCAATGCTCTGATAGATCAGTAGGGGCTCTTATCGGCTGAGCCATCTCTCCAGTCTAACATTTTAATATATTATTTCAGTAGAAATGCCTAATAGGAAACAGTGAGCCTGTTAATGATAGTCAAATAATAGACACTCTTGGTGAAGTCATAGTATGCAAATTACTTTGAAACAGATGTACTTCATACAGATATTATAAAAATAACTGACTATAGTAATTATAACATGTACCTTTTTAAAAAACAGTAGGTGAGGAACTAAAGGAAAGGAGAAGCCTCAAACGATTTTCTCAGCGACCTCTACCTGCCTCATCAAAGCAAAAAGGGGGGGGGAGCCTCTAAAGGTAAATGGCATTCACACACCCCAGAATTGACAAAAGAGAGTCCCTCAGTCACCACCTATGTATGCTCTTGGTGTGATGGTTTTGAGGATAGGAAGTTAAATTCACCCATGTTTAACAATTAAGTTATTACTTTGGTTACTGAGCACTGTATTCCTTTCCGACATATAGTGTTGTCATTTTTCCCTTGGTTAAAAAATAAACTACTTAGAATAGCCTTGTCCATTCTGCTTTGCATTGCTTATAATAACTAAGAGAATGAGAGATAGAAAAACTTATCTGATTTCTCCAATGAAAGCATAAGCAAATGTGAGAAAACAACAGTATGGTCATGAGGAATAGTTCTGAAGAATTGTGCTCCCAAGAACAAATGATTTTTTTTTACAAGTTTACAGCTTTGGTGGCAAGAATGGAAAGATATGCTAAATTGTCATAAGAAACATAGATGATGGCCTAGAATCAATATGGATTTTAGGATAGTGTCCATTGTTATGTATGATGAAAAAGGGCTGTCCATGTATTTTGTGTTAGAAGCTTGCCATTCATTAGAGCATGAATTAAATGATCTGTTATTGGAAATAAGGTATTTTTCTTGGTTAAGAATTACATACATGTATGTAATGTATCTTAACCAAGTCTCACCTCATTCCTTCCCCTCCAACTCCTCCTCTACACCTTCACCACTATTTCTTCCCAATTTCAGGGGTTCACTCACTCACTCTGTTGTTGTTGTTGTTATTAAAACCCACAGAGTCCATCCACATAGTTCTGATATTATGTGCATACATATAGGACTATCTCCTTGAGCACAGACTCTCAGGGGCTACATCCCTGAAGAAAACAACTCTCCCTCTTTCAGTAGCAATCACTTGTCAATAGTTCCTTGGCTAGGAGTGAGATGTCCTAAGCCCCTTTCATATCCATGCTGGAATTTTTGTCTGGTTTGTCCTTGTACATGAAGTCACAGGTGTTAGTTTATATATGCACTTGCCAAACTGTATCTAGTAAATACTGTTTGTTGTTGTTACCCACTGCCTCTGGCTCCCATAATCTTTCTGCCCCCTCTCCTGAGATGATCCCTAGCTCCGGGGTCATAGTATAGTATAGATTCCCCTTTAGGGTTGAACACTCTCTAGTCTCTCAGTCTCTACACCTTGCTCACTTATAGGTCTCTAGTAATCTCCAGCTACTTAAAAAAAAAAAGAAAAAGAAAAAAGCTCCTCTGAGGAGAGTTGAGAGATACACTTATATATGTGCATGTGTTTAGAAATCAGTTTAATACTATGTACATTTAGCATAATAATAGTATTAAGTTCTCTTAAATTTTTTACATTTGTACAGGGGTGATGCACTGTATTAAATATGTAAGGTCTTTTAAAAAAAGGGATTTTGAGAGCCCATCCCATGTGAAGGGATGCTCTCTTGACCTGGACACATGGGGTAGGGCCTAGGCCTGGCCCAGGATGATGTGGTAGACTTTGAGGAGCCCTTTTGAGGGCCTTACCCTGCCTGGGGAATGGAGGGGGGATGTCTAGGGGCAGGTGGGATGTTGGGGGGAGGAGAGAGAGAGGGAGAAGAGATTGACATATGAAGCAAGCTTGTTCCTAATTTGAACTAATAAAATAAAATAAAATAAAGAAAAAATAGTATTAAGTTCTCCCCTAGGACCTGTGACCTACCTGTACTCAGGTCCTAGGCTCCATTAACATGCCAAGCATGAGTTCAAGGTTATGAAGAAGGCCTTAAATACAATAGTACAATCAGAAAGTGATTGGTAACTTCCTTAGCATTCATACCACTATTGTAACAGTAAATATATCTTCACAGGCTATAACTATAATAGTTTGCTGGGTTCATCCCTGGGTAAGACTGGTGATTACTTTTCTCCCCTAATAGTGTGCCTAGCACCACTCAGAATGATGAGAGCTATCCAGTAGCTTATAGGTCAGAACAGCTTGATTTCTCTATGCTCTATCTTTAGCAAATAAGATCTTATCATCGAGTTCTTGGGGGAGGGGTAACCAAGAGCAATGGTAATAGTCCTGGTTATAACATTTACTTGTCTATGAAGTCCTACTGATCAACCATTTCAAAAGAAGTAACCTCCTGGCACTGAGTTTTTTATTTGATAGCCTATGGTGTCTGTGAGAGGCCCCATTTGAACTTTTTATATATGTATATATTTTAGGAAGCTTGTACAGTAGTAGGTTTCCGTTTTGACTTTTTCAAAAGTCTTTAGTGTTAGTATCTCTCTGAAAACTCCCTCCTCTACTCTGCACTTCAACCCCTAACCTACTTGACCCTTCTTGCTCCATTGTTCCCTGTTATATCACTTTTGTTCTTTCTCCCTTCTCTTAAAAGCAGCCTCATGGCCCCTTACTGTTTTCCTGACTTCTATGGATACTCCAAGTTACATACACATGTAAGAAGATTGAAAGCTAGAGTTTGCATATGAGCAAAAATGTAAAATATTTGTCTAAGTCTGGGTTACCTCACTAATGGTTATTTCTCGTTCCATCCATTTACTTGTGAATTTAATAAGTTCATTTTTCATAACAGTTGAATAATATTCCATTGTATAAGTGTACTACATTATCACTAGCCATTCATCAGTTGATGCACATCCAGGCTATTTCCATTTCCTGACTCTTGTGAATAGAGCAGCAATGAACATGGTTGAACAAGTATCTCTGTAATAGGTTATAGAGTGCTTTGAGTATATGCTCTGGAGAGTTATAGCTGGATCATATGATAAATCTGTTTTAAGGAACCTCCACACTTAATTTACATACTGATTGTACTAGTTTATACTGCCACCAATAGTGAATAATTATCCTCCTTTCCCCACATCCACGCCAGCGTTTGTTGTCCAACTGTTTTTGTAACTCTTAGCTAATCAAACTAGGGTAAGGTAAAACCTAAAAGTAATATTAATTTGTGTTTCCCTATGGCTAAAGATATGGAAAAGTTTTTTTTAATGTTTCCAAGCCATTTGCATTTTGTCATTTGAGAACTTCATTTAGTTACATGCAAAAATTTTAAATTGAGTTTTGCTGGTGCTTAGTTTTTTGAGTTCTTTGTATATTCTAGACACTAGCCCTCTATGAGATGTAGAGCTTGTAAAGAATTTTTCTCATTCTATAGACTGGCTCTTCACTGTAATGATGGTGTCCTTTGCTGTACAGAACCTTTTAATTTCAGGAGGTCCCAATTGTCAATTGTTGACCTTAATGCCTGCACTACTGGCATTCTGTTAAGAAAGTCCTTGCCTACACCTAAAAGTTGAAGTATAGCCCCTACTTCTTCCTCTAACAGATTTATCATATTAGGTTTTGCTCCTTCTACATGTATCTATCCAGTTCAACCACACCATTAATTGGCCGTGCCTTTACTTCAATATATATTTTTGGCCTATTTGTTAATAGCCAGGTGGCTATAAGAGGGTTTTATTCTACTAATCTCTGTGTTGGTTTTGATAACAGTACCATGCTTTTTTATTGCTATACCAGTAATACTATTTGAAATTAGAAATGCTGTAGCCACCAGTAGTGTTTATTGTTCAGGATTGTTTTGACTATCCTGGGTCCTTCTGTGTTCCCATATAAGGTTTAATTTTTTTCAGTTTCTGTAAAGAATTGCATTGGTATTTTGATGGGGGTTGCTGATTACATTGAATCTGTAGATTAGTTTTGCTAGGATGGCCATTTTCACTATATTGATCCTACCAATCTGTAAGCATTTGAAGTCTTTTAATCTTTTGTTATCTTTAATTTATTTTTAGCATCCTATATTTTTATTATACAATCTTTTACTTTCTTTGTTAGATTTATTGGAAGATACTTTAATTTTTCTTGAGGCAAAGTCTTTATGTAACACTGGCTGGCTTGGAACTCACTATGTAGACCATTCTGGTCTCAAACTCAGGAAGATATGCCTTTCCCTATCTCCACAGTGCTAGAATAAAAGGAACAGTAGGAAAAATAAGGTTTTGTTTTTTACCTTTGTGATAGTTTGAATGATAAATGTCCTCCATACACTCAGATATTTGAATGTTTGGTCTCTAGTTGGTGGAACTATTTGGAAATGATTAGGAGTTGTGGTATTGTTGAAGGAGATATGTCACAGAGGGTGGGCTTTCAGATTTCAAAAGAGAGACTCATGCAATGTGTCTCTGCTTGTGGTTGTGTTTCAAGATGTATGCTCTCAGCTATTGCTCAAGTGCCGTTCCTGTTTACCTGTTGCAATACTCCCCACCATAATGGTTGGGAACTCTAACTCTCTATAACTGTGAGCCCCCAAATTAAATGATATCTTTTGTAAGCTTCCTTGGTCGCGACATTTTGTCAGGGCAATAGAAAAGTAACTGAGACAGCATGGTACCAGGGAGTGGGCTATTGCTTTAAAAGGATCGATCATGCTGTTTTTTGTTTGTTTGTTTTTTTGTTTTTGGAGGGTTATGGAAGAATTTGGATTTTTGGACTAAGAACATACTTGAATGCTGTAAATGGAACTTAATGGGCCATCATAGTAGTAGCTTAGAAGACAATAGATCTGAGAGTGATTTGAACCAGCTCAAGAGATTTTAGATGGGAACAATATTAGCAACTTGACTAGAGGCTGTTCTGATGATTCTTTGGATAAGTTCAAGAGATTTCAGACAAGAACAATATTAGAAAATTGGCTAGAGGCTGTTCTGGTGGTATTTTCTATAAGAATATGGCTGCTTTTGTCCTAACAGTCTTCCTGAGTCTAAATTGAAGAGTTTTGGATTAATTTCATTGCAGAAGAGATTTCAAGACAGCCAAATATTGACTCTGTCATGTGGTTATTAGTGATCACTCTTATGCTTCTCTACAATGAAAAAGAGCAAGCAGGACTACAAAAAATACAAATACACAGTTTGAGGAGAAAAAGACAGGAAATTTTATGTTGGAGCCTTGGTTCATGCTAAAGGAGATAAGGAGAAACGGAATAAAGGGAATGGTGACCTCAGGGCAAGATCCCACCCAGCTAATTCTGCAACTTGTGAAAAGGTCTAAAGTATTATCTGCTCCTAAAGAGCAACAACAAATCAAAGCTTATGTAAATATTTCAAGGAGGGGCCAGGTTCAATCCCAAGCCAGCAGCAGAACTTGGCAGCTTCAGCCCATGGTCTGGCTTTATAGTCAAGAAGTCTCCAGAGATGGCTTAGTCATTCATTACTGGGCTCATGAGCATGAGGACCTGATCTTCATCCTAATCACCAAGTTTAAACAAACCAGGCTGATGTCTGTAACCCCAGTGCTGGCGGGCAGGGCCATGGGCAGAGACGGTGGATCCCTCGTGCTCACTGGCCATGAAGCTAAGCAGAATCAGCAAGCTCCAGATTCAGTGAGAGACCTTTTCTCAAATAAAATAAAAAGAGGTGGAGGGCTAGCAAGATTGTTTTGTGGATAAAAGTGCTCAGGCCTAAAGACAGGATTTCAATCCCAGGAGTCCACATAAGGGAGCAAACAGAATCCATACATACTCTATGACATGCATGCCCACATACACACACATCATGTCCACACACAATAAAAAAAGGATACAAGAGTAAACGGGTTGTGGAATCTGCCTACACCATTAAGGAAAGCTGCTGAGGCCAGGACTGTGGTAGGGAAGACTCTGCATGGAGGCCAAGAGAGGCCATTGCATGAAGCAGTGAAAGTGAAGCCTGGATTATATTGGAGACCCCAGGATGTTGGCGATGACAGAGCTGTAGGATACCTGCCAAGGAGAGCTGCATACAGTGAGTGAAACCAGTTCAAGAGAGAGAAATGTGGTACAGTCAGCAAAGCTGGAAGGGCAGAACCATCTAAGCCTTTTGACACCCAACATAGAACTACAGGATTTGGAGTTCTCCCTGCTAGGTTTCAGTCTTGCTATGGTCCAGTATTTCATCACTATGCCTCTGTTCCTCCCTTTTGGAATGGTAATGTGCATTCTTTGCCATTACATGTTGGATGTATATAATTTACATTTGATTTTACAGGGGCTTATAGATAGTTGCCTCAAATATCAGAAGAGACTTTGGATTTTTAAACAGTTTCAATATTGAAAGACTATGGGGACTTTTGAAGTTGAACTAAATACATTTTGCATTATGATACATCTACAAGCCTATGGGGACCATGAAGTGAAATGTGGTAGAATGAGAATGGCACCCATAGGCTCATAGAATTGAATATATTTTGTACCCAGTTGCTGAACTGTTTGAGAAGGATTAAGAGGTATAGCGTTGTTGGAGGATATATGTCACTGAGGGACAGCATTGAGATCATAAAAGCCCATGCCAATTCCAGCTAATGCTCACTCGCCCCCCCCTCTCTCTGTCTCTGTCTCTCATCTCTCTCTCTCATGTCTGTCTGTCTCATGTTCATGGATCAGATGTCAGCTCTTAGCTACTGCTCCAGCACCATGCCTGCCTGCCTATTCCCATGCTCAGCACCTTGATGGTCATATACTCTAACCCTGTGGAACCATGAGCTCCCAAATTAAATGCTTTTTTGCCTTTGTCATGGTGTTTTGTCACGGCAATGGAAAAGTAAGACAGCTTTCTAATAGTATTTGAGCTGTTGAAGATAATCTCTTTTTCCCCCTGTAGTATTGTCTCCTGAGGGACATGGCATGTCAAAAACGAAAAGTTTTCCTGAAACTTCTGAGAATTCATCAGTAGGTGATTCTTTGTATCCTGCACATACTTCAGTCTCCAAGAATGTTTCTGAGATTGTGTCAAATACCTCAAGTACATCTATAGTTATGAAAAAGTCATCTACCTCGACGACTTACAAGCGCATTAAATTCCAATGGAAGAAGAAAAATGAAGGTATATTCAAGAACAGTGTTTCTCAGTCAATGTGTTTACCTTTTTCCTTGAGGATTCCATGCCTTACCATACCCCCTGAGTACCTCTTAAAATACCCAAATTAGAGAGGTCAGGTTCTCTCTTTCACGTTGCCAGGAACAATACTGTTGTGGCTGTTCCTGTTCTCTTGGCATCACAGAAGGTCTCTGGGGATTTGGATCACCCACCACATTTGATAGAGACTTCTCAGATTTGTAGTTTGCAAGCAGGTCTAAACAATTTCTGATGTACTGTGAGGACTCTTAAAACCTCTCATGACTCTTAAGACCAATGAGGCACATTTCCTTCTCCTTGTTTGTGATGTGCTGTCATATCTGTTGAGACCCTTCCTGGTACCAGCCTGTGTGTAGCACATGGATCAGTACTCTGAAATCCTGTTTCAGTAACCAATCAAAAGATCTATTTCTATACATTGAAGCTGGATCAAATAAAAATACTAAAGCTACTCTCTGACCTAGCTGAGCAGTAAATAATTTTGTTTTCTTTAAAACTGAGGTTAACATTTAAGCCAGAGAAGAGAATCCAAAGTGCAAAAGTGATGCTTAAAATGTCCATACTGAATAATTGAGGAAAATGGTTCAAATATTTAATCCCCTTCTCAAACATAATGTGATTATTAAAATACATTTAGTTAAAATTGAGCAAATACAGGGAATTATAAACCTGTAAAGTTGAGAGTTCCATCATATTTAACAAAATAAAGTCAACTTAGAAGAAAAAGACATTAAAGAATGATTTGTGAGAAGTTTGTTGGATCTGTTCAAAGAAGACAGTACTGAGTTAGCTCCGATTATCCCAATTTAATCTAAGTAGCACCCTTTCCTGTACTTGCTTGTGACTTAAGAAGCCTTGGATTACTACACGTGTTTCATGAACATTGAAGCTTTTAGGTGCCATCTAAAGTAAAGCTGTCCCTGCTCTTTGGGGGAGGTCCATTGACACACTCTTATGCAGCACTCCTCAGATCTTCATTCAGGCTCTCATGAGATTTTACAGTTGGAATCTTGAGTCCTTACTTAGGTACTTAAGAGAAGGTTCCAGGAGTGAGACCATTACTTTCTACCTAACATCTCTTCTTTCAGGATTATGATCAGGTCAAGTATGATTTGTTTTTTTTCCCCTCCCATTGAAGCTTCAAGTTATATAGCTGTACCAGACCCCAGTGTCCTGAAACAAGGCTTCTGTAAGGACCCTTCAACCTGGTCTGTGGATGAAGTGATACAGTTTATGAAACATACAGATCCTCACATATCAGGCCCCCTCGCCGACATCTTCAGGCAACATGTAACGTATTTTTTGATCCGGTTTTCCTGCTGCCCTAATGCCTTTGAATGACCTCTGTGCAGGCCTTTCAGTTTGATACTGAGTTGTATGGATGGTGGGGGAACCCTATCAACTGATCTTTTTCATTTTTGGGAAAGATTACTTTGCCCCACATTCAGGCCTTAAATGGTAGGTTAATTGCCTGTTCTTTAAGTGGGTATCCAAGTATCTAGTACACTAAACAGCTTCAAGTTTTTAAGAGGTGGTATTACAGGATTGCCACTCTCATGCAGACCACCCCTTCTTGTAAAGACAAATATAATAACCCTTCCCCAACCTGCTCCCTGTTCTACTCTAGGACCATGAGTAGGAGGGGTTGACCTACAGCACATACCAGGGTGGCCTTCTCATGATACCCAGTGAAACCAGCAGCTCCTTTATGATTTGAATACCAAATAATAGGCTTCTATAACATAAATTGTATAATAACAATAATAAAAAAATTTAAAGGATTCCTTGTGACTGCTAAGCAATGTGTTCACAATATTTTCTAACATAAAATTGTTTAATGTCTGGTGTACACTATTGTGTGTGTGTGTGTGTGTGTGTGTGTGTGTGTGTGTGTGTGTGTGTGTGTGTTTGTGCTCGCACGTGTGTGTACAGGTGCAAATGCACATGTGTATGTATGGAGGCCATAGAACAATCTCAGGTACCATCTTCAGTAAGGTTATCCAACCTCCTTTGAGACAGGGTCTCTCATTTCGATCTGGGGGCTCATCAACTATGTTACACTGATTGGCCAGTGTACCCCAGGATTGTCATGTCTTTACCTCTTTAGTGCTGGGATTAAGTACATGCCATCATGTCTGGCATTTTTACATGTATTCTGGAGATCCAACTCCTGTCTTCATGTTTTCAGTGCAAGTGCTTTACTGACTGAGCAATCTGATTAGCTTTCAACATGAAGATGAAACTATATAGCATGTTTACAGTTTGCATTGATTCTGGCATACTCCTTTCCCTTCTCAGAAAGTTAAGAATATACGAAATTAATTTCTACTATTCATGATCTTTAACTATTTGTCATAAATATGTGGTAGGATTTTGTTTAATACACAGTGAAGTCAGATGCTTTGACACTTAGAACATTTATTAGAAATACTGGTTGAATATTTTTCTTAAAATTTAGATTAAATTTACAAATTATCAAATGATGTTCCATTGTACAAATAAAATTTTATTAGTTTTCATAAAATATATTCAGAGAATATATATGTATATATATGGAATATATAGTACTTTATTTTCTACATTCTTATATGTAATTAACTTAAACTATGGAAGGAGTCTTACTATAATTTTCTTCTCTCTGTAGGAAATTGATGGGAAAGCTCTGCTACTACTGAAGAGTGAGCTGATGATGAAGTATATGGGGCTGAAACTAGGACCAGCATTAAAAATATGTTACTACATTGAAAAACTAAAAGAAGTAAAATATAATTGAAAATGTGCAAATTTAGATTAGAGACAATTCTCAGGTATACTGAAAATATTTTACTTTAAAAGTAGTTTTTCTCATCATTTTTATTTTATAAAAGGTTTTTATAAAAATGTCTTATCAAAATTCTAGTACAATTACATTGATAGTATACTCTTATTCCTTAAACACCATTGAATATGTTTTATTAGTATACTTATAACTGGCAACTTAATATTTATGTCTTTAATTATTTTTATTGTGTTTACAAATGTACTTCATGTAGCAAACAGATGAAAATTTTATTTGGATTAATCTTTATATCTAGAACCAAATAGCTAAACCCCAATGGGGAAAAAACAAGCAACTTAACCTCTTTTATAAAAACATGAGAATTTTTCTCAGAGAATTTGAAAATGCACTTAAGCTCTCATCTCCTCCCCAATTATTTTATATGTCTGATTTTACAGTGTTCTGTTGATGATATACTACTACTAGAAAGGGAAGAGCCATATAAATTATTTTCCTTTCTGTTGGTGCCCTTGGTGGTGTATTTGTTCACACAAGGGGAATAGCAAGTCTATAAGCTTTCTTAAAGTGTTCTTACTAGTCTTTGATATTTTTAAACTGTATGATAGATTAAAGTGAATAATTTTGTGCAGGAGATGTTTATTCTACTAGTGTAAATTGGAAGGAATTGGATAAACTTTATACCTATCCTACAATTCTGTATTTTTTCTAAGCTCAAACATTAGACATTCAATTTGACATCTCTACTTCCAAGATATTTGTGTCCAGATTTTAAAAATTTGTTTATTTTGTGTATATTACTCATACAGATACTTTAGCATATTTATATACTATTCTATATCTGTGAGAATATACAAGTGATCTTTTGACTTATTATGGCACTTTATACTGCCACAGAGGTAATAACTATATATAGATGTTTATTCCATTAAAAATACGTACATCATTTTGCTATCACCAGTACCTCTCAGCTTGTTATTCAGGTGATAAGAAACTCTACATAGATTGGCTCCCACACAGGGAAGCTCTTTATCTTATGCAATATTTCTAATTAATTTACTTAGTTCTGAGCCATCAATTCTACTACATTTTAAAAGGTACATTAATTCTGACATCAGGGCTTCATTTTTATAAATGAGAGCTTTCAAAGGAAAATGGTTCTACAAGCCATTACTTTATATAGTGGTGTAATGCATATAAGCTGTAAGTCAGGTATACATGTATTAGCCATTTGTTCTAAATGTCAACAAAATGTTCACCAGGACAAGAATGTACATTTTCTCTTTTGAATACCAAATGTGTTCTATATAACAATGCACATGTATAAAAGATTACTTCACCTATGTCATTTCTGATACAACTTCTTACTTAAACTTGATCTTCTTGCAAATTTTTTGTATGAAGATATTATGTCCAGTTGAACGGTCCTCAGGTGTTTATAATACTATGTCTTATCTTCGGATTTAAAGACTATAATAAAGTTAAATACCACAGCAAGCAACACCTAGGCCTGGGATTTTATTTTACTTACCTTCTCCACAGTGTATTAATATGTGTGCTTGTTAGCCATGAAAAGGGGGATTTTGAGACTACTTAGTAGTACACTTAAGAGTAAAACCCTGTAACATGACAAAAGACCCAGAGACTGATAATGGGTTTCAAGCTTCAAGGTGAAGATTAGAAAAGCAAAGTAACTGGTCACCAGCTTTTACTGTTACCTCAGGGTGAAAGGCAATCCTGGCTCCGCCAAACCTCAGACTGTAATCCCAGACACCCCAAACTGAGGCTTCAAACTCAGATCTGCTTGCCTCTGCCTCCCAAGTGGTGGGATTAAAGGCATGGTGACCTCCTCTCAACTTGGATTCAGTCTGCTTTTTGGAGAGTTCAGAGATCACAGTAGGTCAGATTATTTCCTTTCTTGGTAATTTTTCTCTGGATAGTTCTCCCTTTCCTTCTTCTGATGCTTATTTGTTCAAAGGTCTTAAATTCCTCAAGATGTTTATGTTTTCCTGAAGACAGAAACAAATCCCTTCCCACTCCTAACTTTCGGGAGTTTCCTAATGTAGTCTTTATCAATTTTGATTTATGGTTTCTCCTGATTTTTTTTGTTTTAGCTTCTAAAGCTCTTCTAACATCCAGAACAATACGTTTTCTTTCAGTAGGCATTAGGTTACTTAATTGTTCTGAGAAGGAGTTTCATCCACGATGGCAGGAAACAAATGAACTGGTTTTGGCATAGGGGCTTTCAGCTGGTTCCTCAAGGCATGCCCTGAAGACAAAGAATTACCTTGATAATCTTTTTTTGACCTACATTCCTTTGTCCAATACCTGCCTTTGCCCTACCTTTTGTGTAATCCATAAAGGAGAGGAGAGGTTTTGTGCTTGGATTATATTTATAAAAAGAATTGTTTCTAGAAACACTCTGTTTACAATCCCTTTTCAAGTGACCTTGTCTGCCACAATTAAAACTTTTGACATTTAGATTTTTCTTTAAACCTCTTGAAATCACCTCTCCTATCCATCCATGTATTATCATCTTGACCATGATTTTGCTTTTAAAGGCCTAATGATCCTTTTGCATTGGGCATTAGCATTTTCAAAAGCCATTGTTTCAATTATTATTTTTCTAGCTTCTGTGTCTGATATCATTCTATTGACTGCTAATAACAGTCTTTATAAGAATTCCATGAATGTTTTCTTTGGGCCCTGTATGACTATTGTAAATGATTCAATTTTCTTTCCTGCTTTTCCAATTCTGTCCCAAGCATTCGAAGCTGCTGTATGACATAAACCCAAGAGATGATCACCATATTGGCTTTGCCTTTCTAAAATAACAATCTCCTTCTCCAAGAATTTGATCTTGGGAGGTATCTATACCTCTAGTTTTAGCCTTTTGTTCAATAGTCTTAGCCTCTTCTCTGAACTAGTAAGTCCACTGTAATTGTGGTCCAGGCTCTAGGATAGCTTTAATCAAATCTACCCAATCTATTACAAAGAGACTATGTGTTTGTCATCTGCTTCACAAATGGTGAATGGATGCTATATGAGACTACAGTTTCCTTGAATTTCCCTAAATCTAACATTGTCACAGGCTTCCAAGTAGCTCTTATACAACCTCCTTCATTTGACACTTCCTGTAAGGTTGCTGGGTATTAATGGTGGTTCTCTTTAGACCTTAGAGTATCCATTTTAAACCTGAAAACGTAATGCTGAATTTGTTTTTCCATGTAATTCCTCAGTCTGGGTTTGAAAAATCTCTATAATATATTTTAATAAGTTTTTCTAAGGCCTGCATTTTAGCATTCATATCAACTAGCTGTTTTAGAGATAAACCGAGAATTATCAAACCAACAACAAAGATTATCAAAATGATAATTAACAGTATGTCAATCCTGGTTAAACTGATTATCCCTTCATTTACTTTTTCCATTTTAAACCATCCATTATGTAATCATACACAGACCTAATTTTCTCCATTTCAATAGTGATTTCCAGTTTTTAGGGTGGGGAAAACCACTCTTTTTTAACTAATCCCTTCCTTCAAGAATTTCCAATTAACTTACCAAATTTGCAGAAATGTCAGTGAGCTGTGAGTGTAGCATGTCCGAATTGGAGAACTAGTTTATGGCCGTGAGCTGAGAGTGTCAGCCCAAGGAAAGGTACTCTAGGAAAAGCCCAAAAGCCTCTCAAGTTTGGGTGGCAGCTGAAGACTGTTTAGAAAAGCTACAACTGAAAAGTCCCACACTTGCTCAAAGATTTGAGGATAAAATCTAGCTGGTTGGACAGAGACTGGGGAGTCCTGCCTGCAATTCAGGCTTGGGCCTGGGCACTTGTCCTCAAAGAAGCTTTTTTTTTTTTTTTTTTTTTTTTTTTGTGTGTGTGTGTGTGTGTGTGTGTGTGTGTGTATTCGTACTTTAACGTTGGGTGCCATTTTCTTTCTTTTTGTATTAGACAAAAAAGGGGACTTATGGTGATACAGTATTTATGATTTATTAAATCTTGCCTGAGGATTCAGAAAGCAAAGCCAGCTTCAAGCTATAGAAATCAGGCACCTTTAATCCTAGCAGCCAGAAGCTAGGAGGTGGTGGTACACACTTTTAATCCTAGGATTCAGGATTAAGAGGTAAATGGATCTCTGTGAGTCCAAGGCCACCCAGATCTACACAAGATTGATCCAGTACTAAAGAGAAACAGCTCACACAAAGATGATCTCAGCACCTGGGATCACATGCCTTTAATCCCAACACTAGAGGAGTAAAAGCAAGGCCTTCAATAGTCAGTTTCAGGGATTCATTCTCAATCTACTGTAAGGATAGGAAGACATTGATGTCTCAGGATTCTCCATCTATAATGAGGCAAGATTACAGTCTGAGGTTTGGTGGATCCAGAATCAGCCCTTTCAGCTGAGGTAGTGGTAAGAGCTAGTGACTTCCCTGCTTTGGTTTTCTAATTTTCATGCAAGCTTTAAGAAATCATAAATAATATATCACCACAAAATCCTGGTTTTCTATATTACAGAAGAGATTTTATGTGCAGTTTTCTGTGTAAATGACGTAGGTTGAAATCTCTGGGGCTCATTCTATAGCTGAAGCTGTCACATCTTACAAAGTTCCCTGAGACTGACCCAATATGGAACAATGTAGGATAGAATATATAAATATACAAATGATCACCATCAGAATACATAGCAGACAGTTTTTTGTTCCTCTACTTCCTTTATATTTCTGAATCTCATATGAACAATAATCATTTAGGATACCTTTCTTGAGAATACTTAGAGTCAAACCCAAAATGATCTATAAACTATATCACCAGCCACTAGTGTTTTCAGTTTCACCTGCATAGCTTAAACTGACGTTGAACTCACAATGCTTTAGCCTCCATAATGCTAGAATTGTATGATTTTAGACACTTATTAGTTGATACTAATATCAACTAATATTAAGGTTAATAATATTTATTAAATAAAAAGGTAAAGTGAAGATATGAAGAAATTAGAGCCCTTATGTATTGCTAGTAGAAATTTTAAAAGTATAGCTAATGTATAAAACAATTACTATATTATATATGAAGTCTCAAAATTTTAAAAAGCATCGATATACTAATGCTTAGGATATCAAGGTAAAAATGAATTTCTATCATAAGATACATGAAGTATGAAATACTGTATATGTGCTTGTGTGCGTGTTATTTAGTCTTTAAAAGGAATGAAATTCTGATACATACTACTGCCAGATGAATTACATCAAGCCAGCACAAGGACAAATAGTGTAAGAATCCACTTACATGAAACTTGGAGGAAGTAGAAATTACCAGGGAGTCGTTGAAAAGGGAATGGGCATTTAGTGTTTAATTGCCCCAGAGTTTCAGTATGGATTGAAATAAAAGTTCTTGACTCAGTAGTAATGGTTGTGTAGCATTGTATATATACTTAGTATTCATTGTATATTTGCAGGAGTTAAAGTAGTAAATTTGTGTATGTTCATCAAGGTAAATTAGAATAAAAGAAAACAGGGTTGAAGTAACATTTGAAATTATATAAAACTTAAAGCATTTTTTTCTCAGCCAATACTCTCAGGAGTAATGTAGAAGAGTTTCTTTTTAAAGTTAAGGCATTCTTAAAATATCTAGGCTGATTTATTTCATCAGTCCCTCTTTCAATCCCATGTCTCTATGCAGCTGTCTTTTTCTTATCAGCAACCAAAAAACTCAAAATCGACACAATAACATACAGGTGATAGGGGACGTCCTTCTGTGTATATGTTTGTCTTATTGGTTATTGAATAAAGCACTGTTTGGCCAATGAGACAGCAAGTTAGGCGGTACTAGGAGTCGAGGAGGATTCTGGGAAATGTAGTAAAAAGAAGTCTTGTGATCCAGGCAGGAAGTGACATAGCAGGCAGACTCAGAATATAAACAGGGACAAGAAGGAAATTGTCCTCTTGCTCTTGCTCTTCCTCCTGCTCTCTTCTCTATGGAGCCACCATGTGATCCCTGGAAGAGGACGCCAGCAGAAGGCATCCTTGAGAGATAAGTCTTATAAAATTATAGATTTATGATAATTAAGACTGAGCTAGCATATTAGAAATCCTAGTCAATTGGCCAGCAGCATTGGAAACTAATATAAGACTCTGTGTGTTATTCTGGGCACATACATGGTAGCGGGGGTCCGGCGGATGGAGTAAAGACTTATTGTTACATACAGGATCCAGATTCATTGTCTATTCCCCATCTTAAGTGGCTTTTGTTTTCTTTTACAATACTTTTACTCTCTCTTTGAAGACTTTATTTTAAACAATTTTTTATAACTGTCTATACCTTTCTCTCTCTTCTTAAGCCTATGGCCATTGTTAAGTACACTGTAACCTGCTTAGAGGTTTTTCCATCTGGACCTCTTTTACTGCATATCGTTTAGCCTTTTTTTTTTTTTTTTGAGTGCTTGAGTCTTTAAACCGCTAAGTGGCTTGGCTAGAATCTTCATGGCCTCTGCTTCAGTTTCTGCCACGAG